GGGCGGTATCGTGAACCTTGTGACCGTGGAAAGTGCTGGGTCGTCGCTCGGTAAGCTCGGTCTCGAGTAGCACAACTGAGGTAGTTGCACAGGCGCGGCGGAACGTTGGCGTGGGGCACACCACACAAGTGCAAACGGGCACTGTTACCTACCAGAGAAAGCTAGAGGACCGAGATAAGCACATATGCTCAACGTTTACTGAGCCCGATAGTGCGTACCAATGACCCTTGCACCCTAATCCACCCCCTCTCACTCGTATCTCTCTGTTTCGCAACATTCAGCGCATCACAAGCACCACCGCCGTTCGCGCTCCTGTGGTTGACAGCCTCGCGCGTCTGAGTCTTAGTCCAAGCCAACTGCCCGTATGAGTACTGTGTGATCGTTCTAGTGTAGCTGTATATTGGAGGGAAATTGGGTTCTGACGTGGGCGATGGTCATGGTAGTCGTAGTTCGGGACACGCCGCGAAGGACGTTCTGAACGCGGCCATTGCATGAGACGTCTCTTGATCACAACTTTCATCACGCTAGCGGAAGAAAGCATGCAATTGGCAATTCCTGTGATGTCGAGCGCCTATCGACGCCTGACATACGGCAGTGGCCGAATTGTGCCCTCGCATCTTCTGAGCTCCTCATATGCGGTCGTTTCGACCTGGGTGCTATACCATGCTCAAACCAAGCTCAAACCATTTGCCTTTGCATCATCCCATGTCTGACCCATGGGCGTCTTAATGTGCACTTCCAGCACGGTATCACGACCTCTACATTCTTGCTCGACGCCCGCTATGATACACATACGTGTCAGTGATGGTGGCTGCGGCGGTGGCTGGAGCAATTGCGGCCTTGACTAGAATGGTTTTCGTATGACCCTGGAAATGTATCATTGCATGTAACTTACAGGCGCGCTAGCGCCTTAGATCCCATGCTTCTTCGGAATGGGAACGCCAGGTACGCATTCACTATCGCGGTGACATGTTGGTGCTCTGCTCGTTGCTGTATCCCCTCCACTCACTACTACATCCCCCTTAAAAGCTTTGACACCCATTTGACGTAGATGGCTACCGAGGAAGGTGTATCTGCTGAAGATATCGCCGAGAGGGTCTACCAGAAGCTGTCGGCCTCCCAACGCAGACCCTTCGCGCCGTCGAAAGAAGCCGACAAAGTGGGAGATGGCCTTTGGGATGCTTACCTGGATGCTGTCGAGGACGATGACAAAGCCAGTGTCGAGAGCTGGAATGGGTCCACCACTGGCATATTGACATTCGTACGTCGCTTCGCCGAGCCTTGCGCACTGATAACGGTTGCGCTGACACCCAACTTCACAGACCGGTCTCTTTGCAGCAACCGTAGCTGCCTTCGTTCTAGAGAGCTACAAGCAACTTCAACCTGATACAGGCGCACAAACCGTTGCACTGCTAGCACAAATAGCATCTGCTTCTTCAGGCAATAGCCCCATCCCTTCTTCCGAGCTGCCATCTGAACCGTTCGTTGCGCCGGAGTCAGCCGTGATCGTCAATTCACTCTGGTTTCTGAGCCTTATCATTTCGCTCATCTGCGCTCTGCTTGCGACATTGATCCAAGAGTGGACTCGGGACTTCTTACGTGACATACAGCGTCGCACTCCAGACATGACCATCAAACAGTTCTCGTTCAACCACATCTACGTGCGCATGGGCGTCGAGCGCTACAAGCTGGGCTACGTGACCTCACTCATCGTCTTCTTGATGCACATTGCCGTGATATTGTTTGTCGTTGGGTTGGCCGTGTTCCTCGCTCCTATTCATTACAAACCCACACTTGTCATCGAGATAGCTGGTGCCCTGGCTGCGTCAGTTTACCTTGTTTTCAGCCTCTTGCCGTTCTGGGATAACAGCTGCCCGTACCGTACGCCCCTGACATACGCAGTTGTCATTCTGGGGTGGGCGGGGCTTTTGGCATTCGGTGCGATTCTACTGTCAGCCCTTGTTGTTTTGGCATTGCCACTCTTCATTCTCGCCACCATGGTACTTTTTGCCATATATGGTTTTTCATCGACGAAACCCATGAAAAGCAACTCACCGTCGGCGCCACTGATAACTTTTCCTGCAGTTTACGCAGTGTTGCCGGCGTTCCTTCAGTTCTTCATGTATGCCTGGCTCCCAGCCCGTCGCCTTCCTGGCCACAACAACATACCTATGAGGGCTTCAAGACTATTCAGAGTCCACGGCAATGGCGTAGAAACCCAGGATGGCCTCTTCATTGACAAAAGCCGGTTTCTCTTCCTTTGGGACCATACCTATCAGTACATCACGGGGCTTGAAGGGAGCCCGATCTTGTTGGATCATCTTGTAAACCAACTTATGAACTTCGGCGCTCATAACTATGATATGATATTTGTCTATCTTCGCCACAGTGCGTCATTCACGCAGTATCTTGCGAAGTGCATGCGCTCTATTCCGTCACTGGACGTGGGGCTGGGGATGCTCAACCTCTTCCAAAGACTTATCGACGCGGAACATGCGTTCGAACACAGGTCTGGCGCAGCATTACGAGATGGGCGGTGGGGTTGGATGTCCAAGTCGGGATCACTACAGGAACTAGGAACTCTTGCGCAGACCGTCGTAGCACTGGGGCGAAGCGCCGACACCAAGAGCCGGATCGATATCGTGATGAGGTTGTTTCGGCTTCGCCGGTCACTGATCGACCATTACATCGCGATGGGCCCGGAAGACTGGGCGGCGAACGTAGGCTCATTGGACACCATGCTACACTCTCTGGAAAGCGTCCAGGGCTTTGACCTGATACAATTATACTCCAGAGACTCTCGGGTCGTATCATATACGGTGCCTTCCGATTCTCGTGAGAGACGCAAACCCGAGGCTCCATGGGCCGGTTATGACCTCGCCATTCGCAATGCCCTGACAACGCTGGTCAACTTGATTGGGATAGATCCAAATCGTGAGCTCAGCCACGACCTTGATGATATGGGTATAAAGGCTTTGTTCGAGCATACAGCATTCACCAAAGATAATCTCAGCAGATATGCGGCGTTCTCGCGCAAGGCCACACCATCTCCGCAGTTATTGGCTTTGTTTTGTAGTCGGACACATGGATACGGAGATGAGCTCGCCCTCTTTGTCGGATTCTTCACAGTTCCTGCTCGAGAAGCTCTGCAGGTTCAAGAAGAGCTTGAGGCCGAGCAGACCTTGAGAGATATGCCTGTCGTATTTCCCGCCGCACCATTCGAGCCCGAAGCGCAAGTTATGCGCTCAATCCTGATCGAGGACGCAATCGAGGCACATCGGAACACCCGTGCAGATCGCGCAGATGACGCCCAAGCGCCAGAGCCATCGGATACGGGCAATTTAGCGCCTGCCTTTGAGCTGCAAACACCTCTTCCCACCAGTCCAAGCGAATTCGCCGGACCATCACTGGCAATCCCTGACCCACCTCCTGATGTGTCCGGTATCTCAGAGGGACTGTCAGCTAGCCCGGTTCTGAGAAGCGCGGAGGAAGGGCATAACTTTGGACTGGATGGCATGGTCATACTTATCAGAGGGCATTGAGAAGGAACTCTAAGTTTATCGATGTATGTCATCGACATAGATCTACGAGCCGACTGATTCTGATTATGCACGGTACAGCATAGCTTTTCAAGTCGTGATAGTAGTTCCTTGTTCTGTCTATATGCCCAACGTCTATCATAGCGTGGCGAACGTAGTGCATGCGGAAGCGTACAGTAGAGGGGATGCAAACCTTGTTCTCCAGATGTCATGCTACTGCACTGTGTGTCGCGAATTCGAAGGCGTGCGCGCTCGGTATGCATGCGGGAGCGCCCAGCGAAGATGCCCTGGCGAATGACCATGAGTCGCCCTGGCTTGAAGGCGAGGCTAAGACTGCTGTAAACGCTGTCATTGGAGGGCAAAGTGAGCGCAGTGGTCGGCAAGAGCAAGAACGACGCGAATATGGCCGGGGAAGAAGAGTGATCGGACGGTGACAGCGGCGTCACGGCGGGGCCCGCGAATGATTGACCCTGAAGCGCTGGCCGCTGACCACCACCATCGCCATACGTCCGATCCAGGCCTTTGCTATGCATGCCTTCACTTGCTCAATTATAACGGCATAGTGGACTCCGTGCGCATCCTAGCTGCAAGAACCGCTTCGACAGACACGCAAACCCAGGAAGCCTGGGCCTGGCGTGAAGCGTGTAGTTTGACGTATTGCTACTGCATGGTGACACGCACATATCGAATCAATCGGTTCATATGCCTACAACGGTTCGGGTGGGCGCACAGAAGGCCTTCAACAACGTTCAAGGGAGACAATCTGCGGCTCCCGTCAAGCACTTGACAATCCTGCGCCTAGGAAGTTTGGAACATGGTGATATTCGGCGCATGGTCTGTATGACTTCCTCCCGGCGAATCAGTCCCTTCTAAGCGTCACCCCCCGCTTCACCTTCCAAACTGCGCCGATCTTCGGTTCTTGCGCCTGCTGGCAACCTGCCGTCGCATCGTATAGGTAAATGATGCTCTATCTCACCTTCATCAGGGTTTATGCACAACCGCACTCGCTGAAACAGCGTGCTTGCGTACCCAAGTACTTATAAACTATCCTTGCGCCACAGTCTGTGCCCCCTCGGTCAGCTCCTTACCGCCATCACGACTCGCCTTACCACTTGCAAGCATACTCCGCACCATTTCCGCTATGGCGACTGAAGATCCCGATGCATCCGAGCCCTTCCTGAAATCCTTTGAAGAAGACGCGTCCGGCGATGCCCTCTGGAGACATTACCTCAAGGTTGTCAAGGGGGAAGATGAAGCCAGTGTTGAGAGCTGGAATGGATCCACCGAAGGGCTTCTCACCTTTGTACGCTGGCTTCATATCATTTACATCGATTCGTACTGATGACGTATCCTCAGAATGGTCTCTTCTCGGCGGCTGTCGCCACCTTCGTCGTGGATAATTACAGAAATCTCGAGCCCGACACAGGTGCTCAGACGGTGGCGCTCCTTGCGACTCATTTCGCGCGCCCCAACTTTACTATCCCCGCCTCTGAGTTATCCTCAGAGCCTTTCACGGTGCCTGAATCGGCCGTTCTGGTTAATACGCTCTGGTTCACAAGCCTTGTCATATCAATCATCTGCTCGCTTCTTGCGACACTGGTTCAAGAATGGGCCAGGCACTTTCGCCGTTCGATTCAGCGCGGCGCTTCAGGCATGACCATCAAAGAGTATTCGATGAATCATATGTATCAACGCATGGGCCTTGAGAGCTATCGAATGGATGCTGTTGCAAGCGTGATTGTCGCTTTGACGCATATCTCCGTCGTGCTTTTCCTTGTTGGCCTTGGGATATTTCTCTTTCCGATTCATCAGACTCCAGCACGTGCAGTCACATGGACTGCTGGGGCTGGGGCTATATTCTATTTATGGATAACTGTTTGGCCTATCATCGATCACAAATGCCCCTTTGATACACCTTTCACGACTGCATTCAGCTATCTCATCCACTGCGTATTCATGATCTCGGCCTTTCCCTCCTTCATGTATCTCGGATACCGCTGGGCCAAGAGCCATCGCTGGGCCGAGCATCTGTGCTCACAGTTTTCACGTTCCTTGCCAGGGATTATGTGGATACACATATACGATATATTCGACCCGGATGTGGACTTCATATTCTTCAAAGGTTGTCCTGAGGGGTTACTGGAGATCATTCCTGGTCTGTCTCGGAAATTCTTAGATGATTGGAAACATTTCATGGATGGTGCGCGCATGCTGTTCTTGTGGAAGCGAGTCAATGGGTACTTGCTACAACCGGAGAATGATGCCAGTGTCGCTGCTCTTCTCGACCATCTCCCGCGTCAGTTATCGGAGGCAGACACAACCGTCCATGACACGTTCTTCTTACACCTGAGGGATCATCCCCTCCTTCTGAAGCCGATTGGCCGCATGATGACGGAAATCAAGAAAGCTGGTCCGGGAGCGGGTCAGGGATCTCTGAAGATACTGCGTATGCTCTTCAATGTGAAGCACGACAAGGCTCCCCTTGGAAAGATCATCTCGAGTCCGTTAAGGACCGTGGAAAGCATACTTGACGGGCTTCCCCCGTACATCGAAGCAATCGACAAGCTGGATAGAGCTCAGGTTTACATTGAGAATCGCATGCCGCTGGGGATCTTCAGCCTGTGTGATACCCTGATTCGGCTGCTCCGGGAACAGTTGCTAGAATTTGAAGATTCGGACTTGGAGATAGGAGATGATGAGATGCCGAGGACGTTGAAAGCCACTATAGATAAGATCAGAGACTGTCGCAGGCTGCATCAGTTGTGTGTTCAATTCTCCAACATCACTTGGAGGCTGTCGGGACTGCGTGGTGGAGCTGCGCGCGATTCCGGATTCAGTTTCCGCAGATCAAAACATGATAGTGACGCCGAGGAAGCAAAGAAAGAAAAGATGCAGGCGAAGATCATGACAGAGACCTACGAACTCGCCAACGGGAATAGGCTTGCATTGTTGATGGATCTTGTCTGCCCGCAATTGCCTGGCATGGAATACGGACCTCATTCTAAACCCGATCATGTAGGTTATGAAGAGACCATCACGAATGCACGGAAGCAATGGGACATAGCTTGGGGGTCACAAGATGCGCTCGTTGCGCAGAGCCGTCATAAACCACAGGCACACGACATGCTCGTTGCTCTCCACGCACTGTGCATCGACAAGTTAAGTTTGCCAGTGGATATAGACGGCAAATTCATTGCTCCGCGATCGAGGGCTCTGTCAAAGGATGAGGCTGGAATGATCACAGTCATAGTAGACTTGCTAAACGGTATGGGGAAAACTACAAGAATCCCAAGTCGGGATTCAAGATTATATGCCGAGAAGCGTGATAGGGGTATAGCCCTGCTAAATGTGATTGGAGGTGGTCGTGAAGGATGGACTCGGATATCGATGGATGCGGAGGGATCTACGCCGGGCGAGGCTGAGGCTCGGAATCGGCCTCAGGCTGAGGACGTCGTAGAATTGTCTCGAGGACCTATAGCAATTGACTTTCAGTACGCGTCCACTCCAGCACATGGGAATAGAGAACGGCGATCAACCCCCCACGGTAGACGTAGGGTGATCTCCGGAGGCGCGCGCCAACAACAACAACACCCCCTACCCCCCATCCCTCCTAGCTCGAACGAGCCCGGAGATGATAGAGGATCGCCTGGTACCTCGCAATCTAGCCCACAGAGGTCCAGTACCAATATGTCTCCAGACAGCCCCTACCACACTGCAGAGGAAGGGATTCTCGGGTTAGAGGGAGTGGCGCCAAGCAGGCCTCACGGCGGCTAGCCCCAGTTTTTGATTTCGTTCATCACTGAGACCTCTTACAGTAGATCTCGTCATTCGCGTATCCTCATGTAAATATTAGGCTAGCGACTTACCACAGTGTACAGGATCCGCTCCACAAATCCCATCGTATACACATAGACGGGCATCGCTGTTTGTCGACTCGCGTATGATTGGAGCATACAGGTTGTAGGCCTATTGATATGACAATCGTGCCTAGGCATCCATTAATTCGAACATGATGGGCGGAGAGAAAGCCCGTTGCGCGCGCTCCGGCTCACCGTCTAGCTGCACCTATGGGCGCCTGCACCTGCCCACGCGTTCTCCGGTATCCGGCCCGGACTCTGGAGTGGCTCGAGTCCCCTACAAACGCGCACAGATCGCGGTCACAAACAATGTATACATACAGACAATGCAAACGATCACAGGGTAAGTACAGACACAAGCGAAGAGCGCTACTCGAAAGACGAAGGGAGAATGAGCGAAGACGATGAAACGTATAAGTACACAAAACACTGTTAAGACAAGTAAGCGAAACGAACGAAGAGAGGTATGTATGCACAAGTACTGCTGCGAGTGGATGATGCGAGCGGTGAGGGAAGAGGGAAGGGGTCGCAAGAGATGTTGAGATCGGTTGAGGGCAGGGTGGGTGGAATCGTGTACATATGGCAAGGGTTGTAGACGACGGGTGTACGGCAAGGTGGTGAACAAGCAGTCGAGGCGCGTAGTAAAGCGTCCGGGGTTTGCAAGCGAGTGCGAGTGCGAGATATTGCAAGCGAACGAGCGGGGTCGACGGGACAAGACATAAGTTAACAAACAAGGCGCAGTTTGTATGCGCAGGCGACGGGGTACAACAGCGGGCGCTCAGCTCCTCCCCGTCAACCCTCCAACCCACCTCCTCAGCTTCCCCCCCTTCCCAACCGTCCCCACGCCCCCTCCATTCACCCCAACATCCTTCTCAGGCGTAATCCCCATCCGCGCCAGCTTATTCGCTCTCCTCACGCCTCCCCCGTCCGGCGCCGTCCTGATACGCTGCAGCCCCAGCCCGTCGTCGTCATCGTACACACCCGGCGTACTCGGGTCATGCGACAGCATGCGCGCAAGGTCCAGCTCCTCGCCGTACGTCGGCCCGGGTATAGGCGGCACCCCCGCAAACGGCGTCCGCACGCGCTCATACTCCTGCGCCGCCATCCTCCCCTTCCTCGCGCGCTCAATGAACACGTCAGGCGGCGCATCGAACCCCAGCACACCAAGGTTCGCATCAAAGTCGAACGGCGGCGCCGCGAACGACTGCGCGATGCTCTGTGCGGTCGGCGCATACGAGCCCTTCGCATCGCGGATGCTCGCGAGGCTCGGCTTGCTGCTCCCGAGCCCGATCCCACGATTGGCGCTCGAGGCGCTCGCGGACTGTTTGACGCCCATGCCGGATGCGGAAGGCTTGATGCCCAGCGAGGACGTCGAGGGCTTGAGGCCCAAAGAGGAAGAGCTCGAGCCTTTGCCTGCGAGCGCGTCGGGTATGGGCGCGGGGCGCTCGAGTGCGCCTGGTTTGAGACCGAATAGGTCGCCGGTGGGGTGTTCGTGCACGCTTCGTAGACTATTCGAGCGTTGTGGTGCAGTATTCTGCCGATCGAGTGCGCCTGGTTTCAAGCCGAACAGGTCGCCCGACGAGGCGGACGTATCGAAGGCGGGACTGCTGGATCCGTCGTTGCTCCTGATACTATTCGCACGATGGGGTTTAGGCGAGTTGTGCTCGCTTCCCGGCAGCGCCGCGTTGAACTTCTTCGGCGACGGCGAGGTCGTCACATCTCCAAGGATACCCTCCTCGCGTTTGAGCGACGCCACGGCACCCGCAGGTGCCGGTGACAGCATGTCCTCTCGAGAGGCGCCCGACGTCGGCGCGTCGGCGCCTACCGCTCCCGCAAGCGGTGCATCGTCGCCAAACGTGTGAGCTAGCGGCGCCTCTTCTGACAGGCCGCTCGGTGCGGGCGCTGCCGAACGGGAGCGATGGTGATGCATGAACGACGCATCGGGCGGCGCGAGGAAGCCTCCCGATGTGGTACTCGTTGCGCTCTCTGCTGTATGCGGGCGACGACGGGAATGAGGCGGAGTTCGAGGGGTTCGTGGAGAGCCTGTAGACAAGTTCCGCATTAGTGTTAGATCCAACTGAGAAGATACTACGAAGGAATATTCACCCTTGAGCTTTGTTTGCCCATCGACCGTCTGCCCTCTTCGACTGGCCTTCCGTACGATCCCGTCCTTCCCCACCCTTCCGAATGTATCCTCTCTCGGTCTCCTCAACCCAACCGGGCTCGGTGCGTCACTGAACGCCCTCGGCTTTCCCCGCACCGTCTCAAGACCGTTTTCGTACGGGTCTTCGATAAACGACGCGCCATCGTCACCCGTTGCAGTGGGGTCCTGAGCCTCTTTCAGGCGACGCGCCAAAGCCAAGCTCTCCCCATACGCCGCAAGCCTGGCGCTGAGCGGGATATCCTGCTCGCCCTCCGCACCACCAAATATCGCGTCTTGGCCCTCGTCACCCTGCTTGTTCAGCGCCAATACGCTCGCCTGTGCGCGCTGCACCAACTCGGCAGCCTGCGCATGCGTCGATATCGCGCCCAGATCGATCGCTCGTGGGCGATGATGCGCATTTAGCAAGGGCGCCGAAGGCGAGTGAGACAATGGAGGCGAATGCGGCGAAGTGGGCTGTTGCGATTTGGAAGCGGGAATCGCGACGCCCAAAGCGGTAGGGCCTAAGCTCGTTGTGCTAGGCTTGTGATGCAACATCGGCACTTCGGCCATACCCGGCGGCGTCCGTAGTAGAGCAGCGCTACCGGTAGTAGACATGCTGTCGTCGCGTGCCCTCGCTGTCCGCGGAAGTGTATCATCCTCGTCGCCTTCACACGGGTCTGCGTCCTCTGGCGGACGCTCGATGCTGAACGGAAACTCTCCCGCGCGATGTGCCGCGGCATGCGCTGACGGTGACAATGACGCAGTCGATGCAATACTCCTGCTCCGTGCGCGGTGCCCATGCCCAACAACTGGCCGTCCGAAATCCTCTTCTTCGTCATCCTCGTCGAGATCCGCCGGGGACGGCGAAGACTGAGACGCAGAATCAAAACGCAAGCGCGCGCCGGTACCGCTACTGGAGCGCCCGTGTTGAGGCCGTAAGATGCCAGGGCGTGATGCGTCTGAGCCATGCCTTGACCTCGACTGACTCTGCGACGGCGGGGCGTTGAGCGACGCAGCGCTGCTATTCAACGCGTCCGCACTGGGCCGCTTGAACAATCCCAGCAAGCTCATCTTGCTTCCCAGCCGTCGTGGCTTCTGTTCCACAGTCGATGGCGCGCCTGATCCCGATCCCGCGCTGCTTGGTCTCCCGCCGCTCTTGCCCTTCTTAGCCGGCGGCGTAGAAGGCATCATAATATCCGGATCTGGTAGACTCGGTCTTCGACCAGCGTATGCGGCGTTAGCGGCAGCCTGAGGCGAGTCTAACGCCGAGTTGGCGCGGTGCCGGAAACCGAACACGTTGTCGATGCTCCTCTGCACGTTCAGCTTCCTTCGCCCCGCGTCCTCGTCGGGTAACGAGTCGAGCGATAGACTGGGGTCTACAGCGCCCAGTCTTGTCCCCCGCTCCCGCAAGTCGGCATCTCGGGCCGTAACCCATTCATCCAGCACGCGAGCCATCTCTGTCCACCCCGCCTGCTTGGCGATAGAAGCCGGAGTGGCGCCGTACTTGTCCGCCTTCTCTGGGCGGGCACCGTGGCGGAGCAGCAGTAATACAAGTGGCGTGTGCCCATTTGCGGCGGCGAAATGTAGTGGAGTAGCGCCGGGTGCGCCGCCGGCGGGGAGGTCCTTCTCCTTGTGCGACGACGGCTTGAGCGAGCGCGAGGGGCGCGGCGGCGGGAGGCGCTCAGCGTTCGGATCCGCGCCGGCGTCAAGAAGCAGACGTGCGGCTTGTAGCGCGCCGCCGGCACAGGCGAGATGCAGCGGCAGCAATCCATCCCTCGCGCCGTTGACGGGCTGGCCCTGGTTAAGCGCGTACTTGACGAGGCCGATGTTATCGTGTTCTGCCGCCGAGTGGAGCTGAAAGTCGGGATATTCGAATACGACGTTGTGCTGCTGCCTGGCGCGGGCCTCGCGGTCGGCCTTGCGCAGCGGCATGGCGGCCCGCGTGGTGGAGGGAGGAGGGAGAGGTGAGTGAGATACGGAGGTGAGAGGCGCCGGAGGGATGGGATGGATATCTCTCCGGCCTTGCGCGCGTGCCTGGGCCGATCACCAGTCTCTCCATTCCCCACATTCCGTGACCCGCCCTGATCAAAATCGTTCTGTCATCTCATCGACAAACGAAGAGTACCACGACGTGCGTGCGATGGGTATGCGCTGGCGATGGCCATCTCTCGATGGTCTGTGCGGCGGGAGAAGCACGAAGCGATAAACAAATGTCCGGAAAGGACCCATCAGCCGTCATCTCGACACTAAGACATCCCATCATCGTCCTGCCTTCTTTGCTCGCATCCATACGCCCATCTCCGCCTGCCCACTCCCATCTCCCAGCTTTGCTCGGCCTCCTCGGCTTTCTCTTCGGTTCATTTCACGCCCAATTGTGTACGGCCCGCGGAACGAAATGAGCAATACGTAGCCGGCCCCGCGCCCGTGTGCGCCGTTGTATAGGGCTACATACGCAGATACGAAGCGCAGCGGGATGCGTTGTACTCTACCACGCCCAATCCAAACCCGTCCATCGATCTACGATCTCATCCACCTCCATCTCTATTGCACATCCACGCTCATACCGCCGTAGAGCGCCCACACGCACACCGCCCGTCGCCCGGTCGCCGTCGATCCCGCGATGCTGTCAACCCGCTCTTTGCTTCTTGCTTCTGTGGTCCCGCGATGCGATGCCATCGACCATCCTCCGTACCGAGGCCAGACCTCGAGCTTTTGTTTCTTAACTAGGAAGCCTATCCGTATTCGAAGAGCCCTTGTTCTCCTCCGCTTTGCTCTGCACCGCCATCCGCCGCTATCACCGCGCGTTTGTTGAATTCGGAGATCGCCCGCTGGACGCCACGACGGCATTCCACTCAAAACCCTCTTGGCAATGCTACACTCGATGACAACGGCGCAAGTTGACATAGGTCGTACCTATCATCTGCTTAAACGTCGGAGTCATCTACCAGCGGTATACAAGGACTGCGCATCGCAAGACGACCCTGCGCTCGAGCCCTCTATGCGCCGAGCGTACATTTGCAATAAACACGCATTTACCTCGCACACCCTGTGTGCCTTCGGGGCCCGTTTTCCCTGTCAACGACTTCCCACTCTCGCGATGTCTCGCACACAACGTTCGGTTGCGGTCGACAAGCTCACGAATTGGGTAGTCAGATACCGGTCTCGCGATACCAACGCCCACGTAGCGCATCCGCAAGACCTCACTCAAACGCATACACTCCATAGCGTTGCCAACATGAACAACCCTGATGCGCTCGCGGAATATCGGGATCATCCACCCTCGCCGCGGACCCACGGAACAGGACACTCATAGGCGCGATGCGTCTCCGGCCACGATATCATCATCATCATCCTGCGTGTTACAGGTCGCATCAACCCGCTTTGCTTCTGTGGCCCGCGCTGGGATCTCGTGTGGCGGGTTTACCCGCCCAGCAACCTTATCGAGTACCAGGACGCGCTCTTGCAGAGCTTGTTCACGCACAACACTGCGATGTGCTGCATGCAGCATGACTGCCTGTCGGGGTCCGAAAGAGCGCGTTGTTGAGCATCATGACGAGCACTTAGTACTGTGCCGCCCCTCACAGCACCGTATCCTCGAGATCCTTCGGAGCATGAGTAGCGTGCTTTCCCTCGCGAGCGCGGCCGATTATGATGCCCATGGCGCCTTCACCAGCCTTACAATTGGACGAGCCTCACCCGTATTCATACGCGGTCGACCGTTGACGAAGCGGCCTTCAGACAGACCGTCCGACCCACACGAAATCAGGCCCTACCTGCGTTATAGGTTGCCGGCATGATCACCCACTTGACGTCTCAGAGTGCACGATACGCTCGGCAAGCTCTCTAGCACCGGTGCTCTGCCAGGTTCTCGCGGTGTCCAGCGTGGCTTCCCAGACCATCTTTCGAGGACAGTTCCGCGCGCGAGCCGAATGCGCGAGGCAACGGAAACGCGGACTCAGTTCCGTCGTGCGGTACGTTCTCTACTTCTGCACTTCTGCGCGTAGAGTCTGATTACGCTCCAGTCAGGAAACACGACGTGGCGAGTCTTACCGTCGAATGGCAGATGGCACCTGATGCTTCCGACGTATATTTAACACGATACTGTTGTACATAATGTTGCACAAACAGGCATCACTCTGACTACTATGCTCATGTGCTCAGAGTCCTGATCTACGCGATCGTGAGTCCTCCTCGACCGTAGCGATCTTGTATTTGGACGACGTACACAATATGAATCTTATTCAGCCTTCAGGCCTGCGCTTCGTCAGTGCCCTGTAGGTGCACCGTCCCATCCAAGCCGAGACTGCCTTCCTCTACACTTCTATTGGACGGGCTGTCTGGCGTGTTTACGTGCGAGGCATGACCATCTTCCGGGGATTGGTTGTCATCCAAGAGAACTGCGCGGAATATGGCAGCCTCTGATTTGTATGGGGTTTCTCGTCGTGCTGGCGGTGCGAATGTGATGGGGATGGCTCTGAACGCCTGCTCACCGGCCGGGAGCTCCTGGTAAAGTCGGGGAGGTTGCGAGTTGGTGGGCGTGATGAGGGCGGAGAATTGATCCAGAACATGGCTGTATACAGGGGGCCATTTGGTGGAGAGGAGATATATCAGCGGACTGGACGGCATGCGCTTGAGCGAGGATTCTTTGAAAGACGTGAACTCCGCCTCATTGGTCAGCTCTTTCCATTCTGCCATTATCGTCGTGAGATATTCACGGCAGAGATATGCGTTCGGGTCCAGATAGAGCAGATTGACGAGCAGTACAAGAATGTTCCGGAGCGCATATTCGTAACGCCGCCACACTCTCCCACTAGCCTTCTCGATGTCCTCGTCAGGAAGCGAACCTAAAGGATTGGAGTAGATTGTGATCAGAGCGAGGCCTTCGATGCTCTCGAAGGACTGCAACATTTCATCAAGAAAAGACTTGTTCCTGGGGCCACCCTGCGCATTGATGGAAATCGAGGGATACCGCATAAGTATCAACGTCTGCCGGAGCTCAAAGAGCCCCATGAGCACCCTGATCCTATCGTTCATGCTGGAAGGATGTGCTGGGCTAACACGAGTGATCATTCGTGAGAATCCGACGAAACAATCTGTGATCTTATGACGCTTCATGGCCGTCCATCGGTCGTCTTCCATGATCCAATATTCTATGTCATGTTTAGCTCCAAGGAGGATCTTCAACAACTCTAGCATTCCCAGTATCTCGGCGTTTGAAGACTCCAAAGAGCTCATACTCTGAGCGAGAATTCTCAGGAATGCGTCGCTGTGGCGAAGGTATACGCAGAATGCACCATGATTCTGTGTGTTGAGATCGAGTGATCGAAGGAGGTTATCCGCGAGATCAACACGCCGTTCTGAACTCAAGAAGTGTGTGCAGGTGTGTTCCCACAAGAAGAGCAAGCGGTTGTCGGTGATGAAGTGTTCTTCCCCCGACAGTCTTTTTGCTAGATAAGACACGCCCAGGTGTTCCGGTATATAGACAGGGACATCTTTTTGCCCGGGAAGGCGTCGCGTTGGTAGCGTGCAATGCATGTAGAAACGGAGCGCTGCAATGATATACCACAACGGCCGCAGGACACTCAACCCGAATCCCAACGCCTTTCGTACTTCAGGCCGCTGTGCGCGTTTTCCGACGGAACTTGAGACCTGTTGTGTGACCCATTCGAAGATCTCTGTCCATGAATGGCTATGAAACTGGTAGAGGCCCCATATGACGCCGAAGATGAATAACACGACAAGGCTGATGGCCACGAAAGGTAGCATGATGGCGAGACAGATCGCAATTACCACGATACATATCGTGAACAATGCAGCATAAGAAGGGAGGAAAAGCGCGAGAAATGGCGCAAACAGCACCGTGGAGAGTCCCACCAGGACTGCCATGCACATCACTTGGAATATCAGTGCAATCAACAGTACTGATAACCAACCGACGAAGAACATGATGTAAGTCAAAGGCGTTCGGTAAGGGCAGCTGTTCTTTAAGAACGGCAAAACACTGAACACAAAGTATATGGATGCGGCCACAATGCACGTTATCTCAACCACAGTTGCCAGAGTGTGATGGACCGTGCGGAGGAACATCACCAGCCCAACCAGGAACAGGATGACAGCGACGTGCATGAGAGCGACAATGAAAGAGGTCACGTAGTCCAATTTGAAGCTCTCGACGCCCATACGGACGTAGATATGATTGAACGTGTATGTTCTGAGAGTCATATCCGGAGTGCGGCGGCGGATGTCCCGGAGGAAATCGCGAGTCCACTCCTGTATGAGTGTCGCCAGCAGAGCACAAACGAGCGAGATAACAAGGCTCACGAACCAGAGAGAGTTGACAACCACTGCTACTCGAGGTGCCTCGAAGGGCTCCGCCTGCAATTGCGGAAGGGCTATGTCTGGTGTGTTGTTCCCAGCGGAAACGAGCTGTGCGAGTAGGATGAGGGCCTGATTTCCGATCAAATCAGACTGAGAGCTGGGATCCGGCAAGAGCATGTTGTAGCTTTCGAGCACAAATGCCGCGACAGTTGCGGCGAAGAGGCCGGTCTAACGAGTTCACGTCAGTACAGATGCACTTCCTCGCGTATGTAGAAGCCGGACGCACAAACGTGAGGATGCCATTGGTGGACCCATTCCAGCTCTCTGCGATGGTGGTGTCTTCTTCTTGCACGGCTCCTAGATAAGCTTCCCATAGGGCGTCCCCAGACTTCTCGCTGTCCTTGGACGGGGCGAAATCTCTCCGTCTGGAGAGATCCGACTTCTCGGCGGTGTCTTCGGCAGACATGATGCGTCCTCGACGAGGTTCAGCGGCGAGTGGGGAGGGGAAGAAGTTGTGTGTGGAGGGGATGGTGCAGGATGCATGCAGTCAGGTTTTGTATCCTCGTGCGCGTTGGAGCAGCGCGCAGTGGCGTCGCCTCGCGTAGGCCAGCCTAAAGATTCTCCGGAGGATGGACGGCTTCGAGCTTCGAGGGGGAGCGCATGTGAGCCACAGCTCGCATGGCAGTCCATGATTTCATATCTGATGCGGAAATACCGGTCAAATCTACAAACAAAGTCGAATGAACTATACTCGCCTCCATGATTGCTTGTATCAAAGATAGAGGTGTTGGCCATTCTCCTAGACTTGCGTGCCAGTATGTCCACAAGAACACGAGACGCTCTCAAAGTCCAGATATGCACCGGAAAAGACGTGGGTCTGTTCGCCTCAGCGGGCAACGGGACTGCAACAGGACTTATCGAAGATGTCACAAGCGCTCCTACAGACCATGCGTCAGTTCAAACGCTCGTAGCCGTATCCAGAAGTGATATGAGGTCTCTTACGTTGAAGGAAAGCTCGAGTATCGAAGCAAGAAGGCGATGTTCTAAACCCACTATGTAGATCGTCCTTCGTGAAGAAAGCGTCAGGTGGCCATATCAGCAGTCCATTGTATGAATAGCCTCGCAACATCGCACGTCACTGACTCCATTCTGAGACGCAAAGATCCATTATTCAGGATCCACGTTGTGTTCTCCGAAGATAGCTACATTGTGCTTGAGATCCGAAGAGCAACGAGTAGGCCGGGTGGTAGTACGGTTACCGCGAGGATGGTCATGCAGAAGTGGCAATTCCTGACCAGTAAGCGCGCCGTGCCGTGCACGCCGTACAGTCCTTGCGTTCAAAGCCCTTCATATTCAGTAGTTCTGGTACTATTATCGGGGCCGTCCTCCTTGAGGCCTTGAGGCTTGACCTCGAAAGTGATGACGGTCGAAGACAGCTTTCAAGGTCACCGCGAGTGATCGAGTGATGCCGCGGTCCCGCACGTGTTGATCCTTGCCCTCGATGACACCACCATCTACCTGATCCCCAAAATACTCGGGTGTTCCTTGTCCTCTCCGCACAGTGATACTGCTAGGTTCGACTTGACCTCTTCCATGACAACGTCTCAGAGCGCCACATGAGCGAGCTACACATAACCCAAGTCAAGATGGACATTTCCCACGGGATTCTGTGAGTAGCCAGCTGCTTGGCCAGCTGAGGCGAAGGGGTTTGGTGCAATTGGTGTGTGCTGCTCTACTACTTCATCAAGAGCACGAGCTCAAACTTCACTTAGGTCATCCTTCTCGCTTCCCCTGTCGCGGCTTGCCCGATATACGGCTCGCTTTCGACCGTAGGCTCGGCATAAACTTTGCACCGACGTCTACTGACACGCCGGCGCCAACGATACGTCAAGGAGGGCAACAGAGGGCAACGGGTGCCGCGTTAAGCGGACGCCTCATGTGCTAGTCGTGGTCTTCGCCGTTTTGCCGGTCACGGGTGTGCCTCGGATGGTCGAGTTGCTAATTGGGAGGCGTTGAGCCCCACTCTCGCGGCATGACAGTTTGTCCATCCCAATTGGAGGCCGCAGAGCTTGGCTTCCTACCAGCCGGGATCTTTCCACTTATCGTTGACAATCGAGATGTTATTCGCACCGCGCTCATGCTTCAACATAGCACGAACGCCCTTCAACCTGGCATCGGGTCGGGCCAAGCGACTCGTGTCGCAACAACGACCCCAATGGCCCCTATGTTAACGAGGGCGTCACGCCTTAAATACGTGAGCGGGCTTATGCGGCCGCGACCTGCTTGCCGGTTAGAGGAGGGTAACTATACTTATATATCGTATCTCGGACTCGATTCTCTCCCCATGTATCTCGAATACAATAGTTTGCCAATGCTTGCGCATCCTAGACGTCATACACTTTTGGCATATGGTTACCACTAAGCTCGATGCAAGGGCGCGTGGGGTAACTGCAAAATTCGACGAGCGAGCCACGTAGCGGATTAGGCACGACTGCGGAACATGGTTCACCGGCCCCCCGAAGCGCCGCCGACCCGAAGTATGGTGATGACACCGCTGGCGCGTAAGCTTAGAAGCTACAGCAAGTCTTTCAGTAGCTTCGTTTCTAAGCCCCCATACGGAAACTATGATTCCCGAGGTAGAGAACACAGAGCAGAAGAGACTTCAACAACTCACCTGACCGCGTTCACCGCGTCTTTCTCACCCGCCTCCGCGAAGGTTTGCTTCGTACACCCATGAGTCCTGATGGCTGGCCTGACGACTCTGTATGAGCCATACGTAGAAGCACAACCGCGATGCCACAACCGCGATGCCTCTCCAAGTGTGTTCTCCTCGAACATGATCTGAACAGCGTGCTCTCCGTCGGAGGATCCGACGCACTCACCAACCCGCCGGGTAACTCGTCAAATCTGGATTGGGGCAATCTCTGTTGTTCGTGGACTCACTACATAGCAACAACAGTGATACCGCGGACGTATGACAGCCGAACGTTAGCTCATCGTGAACCATAAAGCGCATGCAACCCAGCTTCACCCTTTGGCCGTCTCGAACGCATCGCCACTCCCCTGCCCTCTCAACCAACGACATCATCGACCATGGCCTCGATGACAGCCATAGCCGTATGGCTTTCCGTCCTCATCTTACTTCTCAAGCCTCTACGCGGGCTCTATAGGACTTTCATCTGGCCTTTCTTCTCTCCCCTACGCAATGTTCCTGGACCCGCACCGCAGAATTGGCTCTACGGCACCATGAAGCTGTCGCGCAAGATTGGCCCGCCTATCGCGAGGACGCAGTGGATGCAGGCGCACGGACCCATTTTCAAAGACTGGTCCTTCTTCGGGGTACGAGCACTCGCTATCCCGGATGGACTACGTTCTGACATCTTGCGCAGCGACCGAGGCTTGTACTCGCGGACAATCGTGGCATCGGGCACGTAATCTCGAACTCGATGGATTATCAGAAGCCGCCTTTGGGCAGGTTTATCGCTGGTCAAGTGGTTGGAGATGGTGCGTTTCGTTCAAAGCTCATCCTTTGTACGTGTCGCTGACGAGATCATCAGGTATATTGACAGTAGAGGGAATGGAGCACAAGCATCAGGTGTGTACACGTGCAGTGCTGGCACATATTCTTGTACTGATTCCCTCTAGCGTCGAGTTTTAGTGAGTATCGCTCAAGTGGTATCCGACGCACGCTATAACGACGAAGTAGAATCCCGCATTTGGAGTTGCTCAGATTCGCGAGCTTCTACCCATTTTCTTTGAGGAGTCGTTGCGCGTGAGTTGGGAACTCCCACTCTCCCTGGACGCGGCTGACGCCTTACAGCTTCGAGATGCTTGGAAGAGCAAGATAGCCGAGGATAGCACCACTGGCCGGATCATCGTCGACGTTCTGGACTACCTCCAGCTTACCACGCTCGATGTCATCGGTCTTGCAGGCACGTTTCTTTGAAACTGGATAACATTGTACTTAAACATCCCCGTAGGATTTGGCTTCTCTTTCGACGCACTGGATCCTTCACCGTCGACTGACCTAGAGACGAAGGAGTTCACCGATGCCCTTCGTATCTTGACCAACGGTGACGCTCCTGGTGTCATGACAGTTCTCCAAGGCATCCTTCCACCTCTCCGGTACATCGTGAGCATGAACATGTTCAAATAACATTCTGGTGGTTGTACTCACCAGTATGCTTAGCCTACCCCAAGAACCCGGCGTATTGCGAAAGCTCGAGCAGTGCTCAATCGCGTTGGAGGAAGGCTCATCAGCGAGCGGAAACGCCTTGTCCTAGGTGACGTCGCACAAGAAAAGGTGAAGCGAGACGACGTGCAGGGCAAGGATGTCTTGAGCATCCTTGTACGAGCCAATCTTGCAACCGATCTTCCCGAACAAAGCCGCCTGTCCGATCAAGATATGCTCGCTCGTGCGTAGTTTCTCAAGATCCTCTTTGTACTGCTGCTCATCGCGCGCCAGAAATCCCGACGTTACTTGTCGCAGTGAGTCAACTCCTGCACGAAGCCGTATGAACTTGTCACTGATGTCACTGACAGGGCCACGAGTAAGATTTTGACCGTGAAGTGTAGTGCAGTGGCTGATACGGCAATTAGAACGACTAGCTCGGCCGTCACCTGGGGCCTTCATTCACTATCCAACAATCCCGCAGTGCAAGACAAACTCCGCGCCGAGCTTCGCGCCTGTGTTCATGTACACGGATCCATGCCGTCTTCGGAGGTCCTCAACAACCTGCCCTACTTGGAAATGTTCGTGCGCGAAGTTATGCGGTTGCATAGCCCTGTCACCTCGACTTCGCGCGTCGCCATGAAAGCCGATGTTATTCCGACTGCCAACGAATGGGTCGACGTCCATGGGGTGAAGCACTCAGGTGTACCGTGAGCCAATCATTCTACTCCGTTCTGCGAACGTCACTCAGATCTTCGCAGGGTCGCTGAGGGCGACACGATCCTATTGCCGATGGAAATGATGAATAACTTGGCCGCAATCTGGGGTCCGGACGCCAGAACGTTCAGGTATGTCCGAAGGAGTCGATTTCTCCTCTTGATTCAGGCTTCCTGACCTCTTCTAGGCCTGAGCGATGGGAGAGTCCTCCAGAAGCAGCGCGGGCCATACCAGGAGTATGGGGTAACAGCTTGTCGTTCCTCGGGGTGGGTGTAGTACCGTGTGCAGCTATCTGCGGTTGTGACTGACACTCCCACAGGGTCCTCGCGCTTGTATCGGGTTTCGGTTCTCTCTGCTAGAGTGTGTTGTACAGACTTCGTCTATGCGCGACGGTTTAATTGACAGCATTATCCAGGATGAAGGCGATCTTCCTCACCCTAGTCTCGACGTTCAGATTCGAGAACGCAGTGGATCCCGAGAAGGTGTTCCGCCACTCCCTCATTGTGGCGAGACCGATGATCAGGGGGGAAGAGAAGGAGGGTGCACGGCTTCCGATGTATATATCGCTCGTGGACGAGGAATGATCGTCCTCTACACTATGCATGCGCCTGACAGCAGTAGCGCTGCCGCCTATACCGATTCTTTACATACCAGTGACTTGTATTACCCATTATACGTTGTATTGTGACCGGCTATCATACTGATGACGTGGGGATATAAAGCCGCCGAGTATCAATACACACGCTGGGGTTAAGGTTATCACGTAGCGGCGCCACATGTCTGCCAGTGCGCGCTTGATGTCAATCCATCACCATCTCACTTCGGCTCTCTGTGACTGTACAGTACTCTGTACTGCCTGGAAGCGTCGTACGCGTGGTTGCCTCGCTTGCAGGGAGCATGGTACCCGCAATGGACCCGTCCGTGTCGAGCAGCAGTCTCCCACGGAGCCGGAAATGCCATGTCTGGACGTCTTGAGCGCCTATCCTCTTCGTTCCTCTCCTCGATCTTCCCCGTCGACGTCCTTCCATGCTTTTTGCCTTTGGGCCATACCACGGTCGGTATTGCGCCGCGCATGGTGGTAGGGCTGTATGGTCAGCTCTACTTGTTATATTATCGCAGAGCCCAACTGAAACACTGTTCAGGGAGAATGTGCCAGACGCTCTCGCAGAATCACTCGAGGAGAATCACATACAAGCTCTTGCCCTCGGAGAGAATGATGCTTGGTTTTTGAGCGAAGCTCCCCGAAGCGGGAATAAGGGTCTCTATCGGTGTACGTCCCCGCATCAGCTTCAGCGCACACGTGTGGCGAACTAAATGTATGGGACAACTGCAGTATCAGACAACTTCGCTGCAAGCTACCCACGTGTCCACGAGATCGCGCATTCGAACGAGATCATAGTATGGGTAGCACTGGGCCCGGTTGGACGATACGTCGTCGCGACAAACGTGCAACTGTACTTCTCCGACAAGGACATGATGCGCATTGAGCATGGGAGGGAATGTGTCACTCCATTGCTATCTGCATCATTCGGGTTTGAGGGAACCTGGATCTGCGTGAAAGACACTGGTGTGGCATATTGGTCGGGAAACTTACCTCCAATGCTTCAGTCAGTCTTGGAGAGCAAGGCCGTTAGGGTGATCATCATGTTGATCGGAGAGTTGCTCGCTCAGGGCTGACAGCGCCTCGTGAGACAGAACGTCCAGCTCAGTGCCGTCTCGCCAAACCACTTCTTCGTCGAGTATGTCGATGGCGAAACGGTGGCGATGACCCCGTCTTCGTGGCGATGTCACGATATAGAAGGTCTGGTCAGCGTGCACGGTAAGTGGTCCGTACCGTCCAACAGTCGTATCCTTGATTCAGCGCCATCAAGACGTCCGCAATGATGAGGTGAGGGTCGCTGAGGGTAAAGCAGGGCTCTCTCGGGTCTGATGCACCCTTCTCAACTGACATCGGTCTTCACTAGGACAAGGTCTCTCTCAGCGGATCGTGTTCGCTTTCGGGCATGAGGGATCGACATTCTTCATGTCCGGTGCAATGGGCGTGGAATGGTGCGCGTCGTCTATTGCTCGTAATGTCACGTCTGATCGCAAACGTAGGCATGACCTCGACGAGTCCGTTATGACTCATGTGCAACAAGAAGGCTTGCCACAGACCTTCGCCCTCGGGCAATACGGAGCGTGTTTCTGGAGACGAGGTGGTGTTACTTGGTGTACGCTCAGAGCGTCGCTCTTCGCAAGCTCTACGTCTCACGCACACGCAGTATCCTCCAAGACACGAACAGCTTACCCCGAGGTCTGGCGCGTATGGAGATCGCAAGAGCGAATACAATGGGTATCGTTTGGCCCACAGGGATACTACATCATCTCCACAGAAGCGAACATCTATGCTTCTAGGTCACGCGATCTCCTGCGTACCTACAGTGATGGCCACCGTATACCCTTACGATGCGGATCATTTGGTTATGGAGGCAGTTGGGTCGTTGTCGAAGATGGCGGCCTGATACGCAGTCATGGCTTGTCTGATACAGTCTTGAGAATAGTCACTGCAGGCGACGTGCGAGTGAGATCTTATAGCCGCCATCCGATCTTCATTATGCTTACCAGAGCTTCAGAATGTTCAACTTAGTCCGACTGATCCGAATGATTGCTACGTGGAGTACATGAACGGGACGACGCAGTGGCAGCTACCCTGGCAGTTATACGACTCCGTGGCAAGGATAGAGCACGCAAGCGGCATTCGCAATCGGTGCAAGCCCCCTGCTAGCCTCCTCATGATTACGAGTTGCTCATATCGTTCATCGGCGCCGACAGGACAACTGTATCGAGCGATACTACTACCGAAGTTCAGCGCCTATGCCCCGTGCCTCTCGGACCAGAAGTCAACAGCAGTCAGACTACTGGGCTCCTGCTAGTACGAAGATCTTGCGCTAATGCGTCTATTCCCCAGTTTCCTATCAGTTCGCAACCTCCTGGCGCGACATCACCCTTCGGCGACCTACTGTGCGCTTCGTTTACCGGATTAGCGCCGGGACTGTGGAGTCGGAAGATGCTGCTCACAAAGACTACGCGTGCGTTCCGGTCCGCAGATATCTTATCAGGACTACGCGCTCACTGCTCATACCAGGGCTCGCATCGGTAACGAACAAAGACTGTGGCATGCGACTCAACGGTTGTGCAACCTGGGTGATGATGGGCAATACCTGCAGCTCTGCAAGGATATGAGGTGCTCTCTCTGTCGGATCATCGACACGAACTACCGAAAAGAATACTCAAGGACCACGGGCTTGTAAGTTACCATCCGTACTTGCAGACCGGGCGGCTTTGAATAACAATGTGTTCTACAGGTTTGGCTTGGGGATATACACCACGACGGCATCCTCCAAGTGAGTTCGGTCCATGACGCATTAGCTGTGTATACCGTGTTGAGCGCTCCGTAGAGCAGATCGGTACTCTCTAAATGCCCAGGCATCGAAGTACAAAGCCGTGCTTCTGAACAACGTGGTCCTAGGGCGAACATTTGAAACAAATGTGGCGATGAATGGGATCACAGCGCCTCCGGCGGGTTTTAATTCTGTCAGCCACACTCTTCTTGGCATCTTAGGATGCTGTATGCCCAGTAGCTCATTCAGATTTTCAGGTTTGCGGGATACCAACGCTGGACGGCGACTTGAAGCGGCCCTATGACGGGGACTCGACGTGCGTATTTGACGACGCTGCGATACGCCCATTGTATCTCGTAATATACAGTGTATGGCCCTGACCATTGTAAGGCTACATTGTGAGCTAGCCCGACTGAATAACATTCCGCGTATGACGGCCTCTGCGTTGATCATCTTCGGATCTTCGCTTGAGCGACTGCAGCGGCGCGGGTAGCCCTGGCAACCGCGGCTTGTAGGTTCGCACGAGCATTACCCGCGGGGCTCAATGCAAACGGCCCGGTGCCTTCGCGGGGTACTCGACGGGCTTGTCAAGGCTTGTCAGTCGCACTGCGTTCGTCGAAGAGGCGTCCGGCTTGAAAGATGCGTGAACCCGGGCGCGGCGGCGCAAGCCTACTCGCCCTCAACCCGGGGCTGATCCGGTCCGTCCCGGCTATCGAGTGCGTTCTCACGAGCTCCCGCATTCCCCGCAGATGCGCTCTCCATCGGAGCAATGGACGATGTACTCGAGGGTGGCCGTCGAGGTACCGGTACGATCCCGAGGTCCCTCAAATGGGCATCGCCCTGTGACACGAGGTCTGAAGGCGGCTGGTGTGAGGTGAGGAGCATGAGACGCTTCAAGTGGTCCAACGCATCGACGACATCTTGGCTGTTCGCAAGGAACATGGATGTCGTTTTCTCCTCTAGACCGGGGTCATTGGCTCGCTGGAGCAGTGAAAGAAAGACGGGGGATGGGCTGTGCCCGTGGGTTTCCCTTGCGCAGGCGTCGATCTCAGTTGCTGTGAAGAATTCATGCCAGCGCAGCATATTCGGTATGTCTTTCTTCGGATAAGGGGACTCCCGGCGCGTCCAGTACCTCGTGTCTGTCTCGGGATTGGCTGGGTAGAATATATGCGCTATTGTCGTGAGCGCGTTCCGGGCCGCGAGCTCGTAACAGAATGACACGTCTTGATGGTGTTGGTCGAATTCGCTTCGTTCCAGACGACCGTGATCGTGGGTGTGAAGTGGGAGGAGACCAAGACCTCTGACTCTCTCCATGTCGAGTAGCATCGTGTCCAGAGTCGAAACTTCTTCGTCCAATCTCTGCCGAAGCAACTTCGCGCGCACAATGATCACTGTCCAGCGGAGGTCGGCGAGCGCGAGAAGCAAAGAGAGATTGTCGTATTCGCGTGCTGCCATGTTCAAGGAGTCGACTATGAGGAGCAAGTCGGGGACGGCTCTGAACACGCTGTGCATCGCCTCCCATCTGCCGTCCCAGACGCCGAGAGCGGATTCCTCAAGTTGCTCATCTTCCGATATGATGAGCATCTGCAGTAGTCGAATAGCCCCCAGGGCGTCGGGTATGGTCTCGACAGAGGTCATCATGCTCGCGATGGGCAGCATGAATCGTCCGCGATGTCGCAAGTACACGAAGAAGAACCCGAAGTCATGGAAGTCGCTATCGAGTAGCTGACATGGAAGGTAGTGCAGTAAGACGTCCCGGCCCTCGTCACTAAGCATGTATTCGCTGGTGTGTTGCCAGATGAATATCAACCTGGCATAGTCCACAAAGCTTCGGTGCGCGTACACATTCTCCGGCGAGAAGTAGTCGGGGATATATGAAGGGAGATCCCCTTGGCCTGGAAGGCTTCGCCTTGGGATCAAGAAGTAGAAGATGCTGCGTAGTCCGGTCGTAACTTCGGCCAACTTGAATTTGGAGATATCCGACAGACACGACCAGTCATGCTCCGCTATACTGGATGTCACAAGCCATACTGGAAGGGCAACGGCGACGCAGACTGTGACAATTGCCCACTCCACGACAACAAAGAAGTATGTCATTGGGGTACGATATGGACAGCTGTGGTCCCAGAATGGGATGACACTGAGCATGACATAGAGAAACGCAGCTACACTGGCGGCTATTGTAACCACCAAAGCCGATGTATGATCGATGGGGAATAGGAAGATGCTTAGTCCGATGAGGAAGAGGGCAACAGCGACATGTATCAGGGCAACGATGAGAGTAGCCACATCATCCAGTCGATATCGTTCCACTCCCATGCGCACATAGATGTGCTTGAAGGCGTATTCCTTGATGGTCGTGCCGGAGGACCGCCACTGGATGTCGCGCCGAAAGTCCCGTGTCCACTCTTGGATAAGCGTCGCGAGCAGAGCGCATACGAGCGATATGACGAGACTGAGGAACCAAAGAGCGTTGACGATCACGGCCGTTTGCGGAGTCTGAAAGGGCTCCGATGGTAGCTCATTCGTGGGCACTACGGGAGTGTTATTCGTTGCCGAAACGAGCTGCGAGAGTAGTGCAATCGTTTGGGCGCCGGTATCGGGCTGTAGCGTCTTGTAGCTCTCGATGATGAACGCTGCCGTTGTCGCCGCGAATAGACCCGTCTGTTGATAGTCATTAGTACATACTTAGACATAGACCGGCAGACGATCATGCGCACAAAGGTGAGTATCCCCGTTGTGGATCCATTCCAGCTTTCGATGCTAGCCTTATCCTCGCTCTCAACTGCGTCCAAGTATGTGTCCCAGAGCCCATCGCCAGCTTCGTCTTCCGGCCTAGACTTGGCAAACGGGCGGTGCCGAGACTTCGATTCCATCGTAGCCCTTGCGTATCCTCAGCAGCGTATAGTAGAGGTCGACGGTGGCACCAGATGACGATGATGGATCAGGTAGCAGTCTGCGCCAACTAAATCGGAGGCTGCGCTCAACGTCGGGCCGGAAGTAGGTTGAAACCGGACGTCGCGTCGCGTCGCGCGTTCGCGGTCGACTTTGCTTCAAACACACACCATCCTCGGCCTCTGCGGGACAGTATATCACTGGCTCTCGCAAGGCTTCCTGGACACACTATGGCACAGACACAAGTGCATACTTATATCTCGGCAAATACGAGAGCATCGCCTCCTTTGCCATCGTACTGTAGCCCGATGTGCACCTTGCGTCGTGCAAACGGTAAAGGCGCGTTTGATGCCGTTCTTTGTAGAGGCCTTGTCACCTCCTAGAGATAGGTTCTCAGCGATCTGAGCTGGTTTTTGCATGCCTATACGACGACGCGACAAGGTAGGGTATGTGCATGATGTAATGGAGGAGACGTCAGCATGCTCATATAATATAGCCAGTTCCGTACTGTGTCGCCTCTCAATTCGCATGCCTGCGATGAGCTCAGCGATTTCCTGGACCTGAACCATGGTCGTTTGTCTCAGCCTTGCTGGTTTTGCCTTCCGTGCAAGACCCACAGACGCGCCAACGTTTAAAATCGGCCGTCTCGGGGATCAGTCGGTCACGCCTCTCGCCGGGGAAAGTTCCCTGCATCTGGGAACTTTCTTCATGGAACCTGCCTCAGAAGATGGCCATAGCGATCCTAAGTGGTACGTTTATTACGTCTGCAAAGGCGTACTCGCTCATCTCGATATTAGCTGGTGGCTGTGAGCCAGAGCGCTCATCTCACTCCGTAGAGGCTTCGAGTCTTCAACACGATGCTTCTCTTCCCATGCCGTCGCTCTCACGTACAACGCTGACGCCGCCTCATGGAATACGTCAGGCTAATGAATGAGAGACGCAAGGATCCAAAGTGTTCGCGCCCACCGCCGAATAACCGCCTATAAGAGTACAAGCTCGGTCTTTCCTGCGGGTTGAGCTTCTTGGCTTCCCGGTCGCGCCCCGATAACATTTGCAGCAATGACGACCACACTGAGTCTCGCTGATGATATACGTGCGGGAGATACTCTTGGCTTCATGCACTTGGACGAAGGACTGATACTTGTGTATACAGAGCTGGCGATCACGCAGTGTATGACGGCAGGCAACGATGTCGAGTCTTGCTTTCCTACCAATACGACGGAGATTGCTCAAGGCCAACTCATGACCTTTGTGTGTGAGTACTATCAGCGTGTGTACCTACGTATGTACCTACTGACTGCATCTCCATAGGGAACAGCCGTCTGCCAGAACTTGCGCAGTCGGGCAAGGTCGATGTGCACTTATTCCGCGATGGCAACGACGGGGCCGGTGTCTTCACCTGGACAAACATAACGAACCCCACGAATGGCTTTCCCGGCGTTGTATCGCTCGTGATGCTCAATGGCTTTTTCAACGCGACGTGGACTGGCGCGAACATCAGTACACCGTTCTTCTTCACCATTGCCCCGTCGGGCACGGTTCCCAAGGAGCAGGCAGTGTTCCAAGCAATCCGTACGCACCTTCGTCTATACATATATCCGCAGTCATCTGACAAACCGTGCTCACAGAGACGGGGTAAGGAGCCCATTTAGAAGTGATGGTGCTGTGTTCTATCTAAGCGCTGACGCTCGTGCAGGCCAGCCTCCTCCTCGCCTCCCACGACGTCCTCCATTGGGTCTGGTGCACTCGCTACATCATCGCCCGGAGCTGACACTCTCGCTTCAAGTTCGCATTCCTCCGCGGGGGCGATCGCGGGTGGTGTAGTGGGCGGCATCGCGGCGCTTGTGCTGATCGGTGTCGGCGCTTGGCTCATCCGGCGGCGGCGCCGCGCGCGTCGTGCCGCCTCCGCCCCTCCACAAGGCATGAACATGGGTCACTTGCGCATGCGTTCAGTGGCCACGGAGACGAGTTCTGTACACTCAGATGACACGAAAGTCGCACCGTCGATCTACGGGGATGACCAGAAGAACCTCTAAGCATCAGTAAGGCGACAAAGGACTCGTTTCAACCACTTTCTTTTGATTGGGACAATTCTGTACTTCTTGACTGATGATTCATCTGTTGCTCTGTGTTGTATCGGTACACTAAGCTATGCATGGTCCTCTGGAGATGACTCCATGTCACACTACAAGGCCTTGCGATCATGTCTAAGTGAAAGCGTGAGCTGGGGGAGGGACCGCCGAATTCGTGTACAAACTTGCAGACGTCGAGCGTGCGCAGTGTGCGCTCCTTTTTTTTTCAGAATTCACGTATGACTCTAGTGGGAGACGCCGTTCGACCGTGTTTGCACATACCCTTGCTACATGCGCTCCGGATACGCACCTCATCTCCGTCACCTGTCGACTCGAGAACCCACGTCAGTGTCATTCGGTACCGCAATATATTGACCGCGTGCGTCTCCCTCTATGCGATATATAAGACACAACTGATTCTCCCTATTGAGTCTTCTCAGTCAGCCATGTCAGTCCCACCCTCCAACACCAGCGATCTTCCTCCGCCTTCTGAAGACCAAGCATACTGCACCGTTTCTGCCATTGAGGCCGGCATACTATCTCTTCCCTCAAGTTTCGTCTTTGATCCACAAGACGTCGATCCTGCGTCTCGCTGGGATGTACCTTGCTTCGCCTTCCTCGTCCAACACAGCGCTACGAAGAAGTACATCCTCTTCGATCTCGGGTTTCGCAAGGACTACGAACGTCTACCGCCCGAATGTGTTGCCGCACTGAAACACGGGGCGCCTATTCGCGTCTCAGCGCATCTTGACGACAAGCTGCGCAACGGCGGGCTCGACCCGGCTGCAGTCGGGCAAATTATCCTTTCGCATGCCCATTGCGATCACCACGGCGACCCCTCCCGCTTCCCGCACGCTGAGATCGTGGTGCATCCCAACACCACAGAGACCGTGAACAAGGGGTATCCCTTGGACTCGAAGTCGCAGATCGCCCAGGACCTGCTCCCGCCTGAGAGAACGCGCGCTCTGGACGAGAGCGCCTGGGCGCCTCTCGGGCCGTTCAGTCGCGCGCATGACTTCTTCGGCGATGGCAGTGTGTACGTCGTTGATGCCCCGGGACATTTCCCCGGCCATGTCAACCTTCTCGCACGGACGTCGTCAGACGGCGCTTGGTTGTACCTTGCCGGTGATGCTTGCCACGACTGGAGACTCCTGCGCGGAGAGATGCGTATGGCGATGGGGAAGGACGCACATGGGCATGCGTACTGCCTGATGCATACGGACCATTCCGAGGCTGTGAAGACCATTGCAAACATCCGATCTCTCGTAGAGATGCCACGGGTGCGTGTGCTGCTTGCGCACGACGTACCGTGGTGGGATGAAACCAAAGGGGATAAGGGTTTCTGGCCGGACACTATCGCCTCCTTGTGAATCGATGCACAAAACACTGTACGCATTGCGTGTCTGATACCACACAACAGCAATCAACTCGATTAATCATGGGTACCGAGTGCAGAGGATAAGCTATAACCGGTACAACATCAATGCCGGATTCAAAAGCTGGGAATGATATCATTGATTGCCTATAGGTGTAGCAACGTCTGCAAGGACGGGATAGAGATCGATCTATGCAGTACAGTATAAGCCTTAGAACGATGAAAGAGACAGGGAAGCACGCACGAAAGTCGATCCACATTTAGTAGACCCATTCCTCTCTTGCGCACAGACCTCGCCCTCTCCTGCGTCTAGGTATTGCCAGCGGCCCACCCACTGCCTTATGTAGATGCCGATGAGCCCGTTGTGTGAATCCACGCAGTGAGGACGGCCATCATGGTGCAACACTCAAAAATTCATGGTCGTGGTAGTGAGCCAAGCGCCATGGCAGGTGCGGTCGCGACATCGCTCCTGCTTTCCGCCATCACGACCGGACAAGTCTTCTCGTACCTAAAGACCACCGTGCTCTTTTCCTACGTATGTCAACTAGTGAGCACATGTTCCTTGCTTTGACTGTACCCTGTCCTCTAACTATCGCGCTGTAGACGTATCGTCACCCATCTTGTCGCTTCCGGACGATATATCGATCTTGCTCTTAGCTACTGCGGCCCAAACCGAACCTCCTCGGGGAATAGGATTCAGATGTGCCAGAAATCAAGCTCTAGGCTTCTTGCGCCTGTCTGAGGTCTGCCGGCGTTGGAGGGCCCTCCTGCTGTCGATGCCGTCGATCTGGGCCGAAGTCGTTTTTACCATCCCTCCAGCGCCAGCTACACTTGCTCTTTCGCGGTCCAAATCGCATCCATTGCGCGCATCCATTCCTTCTATCACCATCCCGATAAACTACCGACCTGGAAAGCCGACAGGACGGGAACACAATTACCTTATTGCTCTGCTGGCCGAACACGCGGCACGCATCGGCACGCTCTCCGCTTCTGACCTCGAGGCGAAAGATTACCGAGTCGCATTTCGTGACCCCTTACCCCTTCTTAAACGCCTCGTCTTTATACACATCGGCTCACCGCCGTCTCCTCGCGACATCGGCAATATCTGCATTGATGCCCCCACTTTACACACAATGGAAATCATGATAGATGAAGGATCAAACATTCAATTCCCCATCACATATGACAATGCCCCAGGGATCACCTTGAAGCTTCCAGCCCTCCGCTCAATCTCTATCTCCTTGATCGACATTCGTATGAAAGATTCAAATCTGCGGTGGATCGTCCCCCTCCTGCGCAATACGCCTCTGATCGAAGTACTGCACCTATCTTTCTCTGTCGACTCTGGAACGCGCGCTCAGTGGAACACACTATTCAAAGATCAACCAGTAGAGCTCAGCCGTTTACGGCGCCTGGAGCTTGAAGGCGGCCCTCAGGCGAACACCCTCGATCTTTTTCGATACATACAATCACCTTCGCTCCGTCGCACCAACATCAAACACCATCTCTCAGATCAGAGTGGAAAGGCCGCCGATGCGATCAAATATCTTTGTCACACCTTGCACCGTCCATCCTACGATGGTCTACTCGTTCGGCTCGATGCAACATATATCCGCACTTGTACTCTCACAGTCGCAGTCTTTCCGTCTCTGCATCCCGTGACATTCTACTCACCCGAGTCTCTCCTCAAGGGCGATTTACCAGATATAGCCGTAGTCAGCACGGGGTCGACCCTCCCTCCTGACGCGCCGCTACACCGGCAGATGATAGACATGCTTGCCGCTGCACTCAAAGATAATGCTCCCAAACAACTCGTTGTTGATGCGCCAACTTTCAAAGCATGGCCTTCTGCTCTACAGACGATCTTGCCTCTCTGCTCGCAAGTGACGCAGCTATTCGTTTGGCATCCGTGGAACCACAGGGAGCCGGGTTTCCCCATCTTCCCGTCGCCGGTCATTCTTCCTGCTTTGGAAACACTTTCCATTCGGCCCGTATTTGACGCCATCTCATACAAGCAATACAGACGAGCCATAGGTGCATGGTGGTTGGAGCTTACTTCCTGGCTCGAACGTCGAGCCCATGCCACGACGCGCATCCGCAAACTCTACATCTATGGGCTCGATAGACAGCCAGATCACGGGCAGGTCAAGCGGAAGCACGAGGTCGCTGAAGCTCAGCTGCGCCAGCGCGCCGCCGAGTTCGTCGACGAACTATTTGACGAGCGAGTGCGCCGTTCATCCCCACCGCGCCACTTCACCGTGACTGCTTCATCGTCGGAATCATCATCTGACGAATAGGCCTCTGGGTATCCATGTTCCGGAGACGCCGAAGTTCCAAGGACGCTCGATGACACCATAGCCCTCGCTATGGCAATGAGGCGATCTGAATCGGTGGCGTACGGTACTCCGTCGTGGGGGTGAAGGATGTTAGGGCTTCGGGCCAGGCGTTATCGTCTATTTGTAACCTAATATGTATACAACAATGTGTAAATCTACATTCATGGCTCATATAACAGGAATCGCTAAGACTATACCACAAGCGTTGAGCGCGAAAGGTACTCTATGGTCGGTACAGTATCAATAATAGGGGAAGAAGGTAGGGAAGACTGTCTGCAACCGTACAGCCAGTTCATTGCGGTAGCAATGTCTACTCCAACTACGAGTCAGTCCATTGGAATCTAGCGCGAGTTGTCAGTTTGATCACGCTGAAGATCGAACGTCAGCGCACCTCTATTGCTCTTGGAAGACCCTCAATGGTCTCGCGGATTGCTCGTGAGCTACTGATGCGATCGTACACATGCGCCGTGCACTGCGGTCGTTTGCACTGCGAGCTCCAGCAGATCTTTGCCACCGCCCACTCCTCAAGCCCTGTGAGAACAGTATCGCCCATCGGGCGCCGTTCGAGCTCACGTTCCATCGCGTACTTGAGGTCCCGCCAGGCACCATACTCGAAGGGCTCCGAGCAACGACTGCACCGCTGGCTCACGGTATCCGCCATTTGCGCAGGAGTGAGGAAGGGAGGCTGATTCAGGGCGTCGCGGAAGGCCACTAAACGCGCGCGGTGAAGTCCCTGAAGGGCGAGGAGAGCTGGCGTCCTTAGCTTCACGAGGTCCACGTAGTAGATAGGATCGTTGAGATCGAGGACAAGTGACATCTCAGCGGCAAGCATGGCTTCTTCATGCCATCCATATCGACACGCCGCGGTGTACAAGCGAAGTGGTTGATCCATGAAGGTAGCGGTGTGCGACAGGATGCGGACGATGCTATGCACGCCAGGACAGTCGTACTTCTCTGCGGCCGCGAGAATCGGATCGACTTCGTCCCAAGTGGTCAAAAGCGGCACTGGGAGCCCGCATATCATGCGCAGGAGCGGTTCCAAAGTCGAAGAGTCTTCAGACAGCGCGATGGTCTCGGTCGCGTTGCTTCGAGTAGTAGATGCGGATTGAGGGAGTTTGAACATCGTCCGGAACCAGCCAGATGTCATCTTGAGGGTCACTGATGGTACACTATTGGGATGATATACTGAGCCATCTCGCATAACGAGCTACGGGCAAGAACACGCTACCGAAAGAGGACGCCGTTCGAAGAACTCAGTACTACATCTGCCTCCTCCATCGCGAAGAGTGGGTGATAAGACGCGACTGGGCCTGAGCCCGTGCCGATGAGAGCAGTACTAGTAGTCTCTGACTGCATGGGCGTCTTGATCGTGGTAGTAGTAGAAGTCAAGGTGGCGACGGAGAACGCGGGCAGCTCTTGTGGTCGTTGGTAGCTCAAGCGTCTTTGTGTGCACGCGATTGTCAGGAGGGTAATAGATGTCGAGACGGATCCGTCTCGCATAAAATTCGTTCAGGTTTGCATCGCCACCACCATGCGGGGTACACGAGGACTGGGGTGGAGGGCAAAGACACGGCCCACGGTGATGGCATGCGGCAAACCGCGACGTCGTCAGCGACGCAGAGCCTCGGCCACCTTCCGAAAGTCTCACGGTGATATTATATTCGTAGAATTGACAGTTGGCGAGTGTAACTCATGCTTGACGCTGTATCATGATCTGTATAAGGCGCTCACGATCAAAGATGAGTGAGCCTATAGACTGTTGCCTAGATGGTCTGGGTCAATTATAGGTACAGATATGAACGTGACGAAGGGAGAACATGGGTACAGTATATAGGAAGCGGAGTGCATACATACGCCGCACAGCATGGTAAGCAGCCTGTTACTGATACCATACTCAATAAGCACATCGTACACCCTCAGACCATTCAGGCTGAACCTTCCGTTCCAATTAACCCCTTCCGACCGCATCCGAATCAGCGCTGCACCCTTCCTACTCGCCATATCCCTTTACCGGGAAAAAGACACGGATGTTGCGCGCGGTGTCGCGGATTTCGGCAGTCGAGATGCGTTCGTATGGATCGATTGCCAGTGCCCGTAGGATGAGGGCCTCAACATTCACCGGCAAACGTAGTGGAGCGAAATAGCTCTGAGGATCATGAGCGTACGACGCGAACTTGGGGTCCTGGATACTGGCAGCGTGCCACGGATTGACGGTCGTGATGAGGTTCACGAGAATGACTCCAAGGGCCCATACATCACTGACTGCAGTAGGGATTGTGGGTTCTCCCTCGCGGTCATGTCTGAAACATTCTGTAACGAATAAGCCCGACGTGAAGGTTCTCCAGGAACAAGATCACTAACCCGGAGGTGAGTATGCTTTGCTTCCCGGCGGTCTTGACCTGCAATCGCGGTCCGTCGTAGCCAAGCCAAAGTCCGAGAGAGCCACGCGCGATGCGCGCTTGTCGCACAGGATATTCTCTGGCTTGATATCTAGGTGGTATACGCCGCGCGTGTGGCAATGGGCTACCGCATCGCACAGTTGGAGGAAGATGTTGCGCACAAGATTGTCTCTTCCAACGAAGAGGCGCCGCTCGATCGCGCTGTAAAGGTCGCCGCCCGTATACAAGTCGTAGACGAAGAAGGCGTGCTCTCCTTGAGCGAAAGCACGATGTAGTGTCACAATATTTGGGTGGTCGTCCACGCGTTGTTGTAGAGTTCGTTCCCGAGCGTGTCGGGCGTACGTGTCCGAGCTCTTCGCGCCACGAGGCATGCATTTCACGGCGTAGTCGCGACCATCGTTAACGTCGTGTCCTTTAAAGAGAACACTCGAGCCACCCTTGGCAATGACGGCGCGAAGTCGGAGGCGCCCTTGATTGATAGAAACGTCGAGAGGCTTGCTGATGGCATGGATGGAGAGGTGGTGTCGTGTTTCCCATAGGGATTGCACTGGGTGCTCAAGGTCGCTCCGTTGGCATAGCTTGCTGGAGGTCATGATGTTGGTCGTGTAGAGCACTTCTAGCTGATGTGCGGGAGGTGAAGGGGGTCCTAGCCTCCTGGGAGTCGTACGTTTGGGCCGCAATAGTAACGAGGGATTTGACCACGTCCTCACGGAGTTCGGACTGATGTGCATTCCGGTTGTGACGAGCCTCGCATGCGGCATTCTTGGCAGCTATCGACATGCACCTCGGTTATTGCTGGCGATGAAACTCAGATAGGCGAATGGCTAGGGTGGCCGGAGTCTCTCGGAGTGCATATTGCACATCGAGTCGGAGTCCACAGCGTCACCTGGCCGTTCTCAAAGCATGTGCATCAGCGGAAACTGAGGGCGCAAGTCTGATACCTGAAATTGCGCCCACGAGCCTGACGAAGTTAAGAGACCGGTGGCGTTAGCTGCGAAACTTTGCCCAAGTCAGCGTGGGTGATAGCGATATATGAAGACGAGCTCAGAGTTCGGGCTTCACGGTAACATAATGGCATTAGGGCGCAGTGCAATAAGTCCCAAAGGCGTAGGCAAAAGGAGGGCGGAGACTGCCTGCAGGTCCGACAGGATCGGGGTTGGAGGCGAGTCGCGTTCTTCTCCGAGCGGCCGTGGTCGGGCCGTTCCCCCGGTGACAGCCACTGGCAAACCCCGAGGCGCGAGAAAGACGGGTTGTACCTGCCAACATCGACCAGAGCACACACTTGCCGTACTTGACGCGATAGGCTCTTGGGTAGCCCTTAGGCCTTAGGCAATGTAGGGCTTGCGTGGTGACACGTGAACCGAGACTATATTGTGGGGCTGATGCCAGTCATCTACACAATTGCCCTTGATATCGACGTTGCAACTGCTTTCAGTCCCGACTACATACGTGACCGTCCTCCCTCCCGTCAAAAAGGTCACTGAAAAGCCTGCCAGGGAGGCTTCATCATAGAGTGCGACTGACCGGGTTAGGCGTCTAACTGTAGAATGAGATATGTACGGGATGTCCTTCTGTACGTCAGCTCACACACGAAACCATCCTTGAGCGCTTATTCTCTTGCCAGCTAATTCACGGCCTGTCTTCCGCAGGCGATACACTTCTCTCTGCGGCATTCCCGCCTGGCGAAGATTACCTGGCAAGAGTACCTCCCTTCTCTTGCCTTCGAGCTGTATGGGAAGGCTCGCATTGAATGAACTAACCCACTGCGTCCCCGGGCTTCTTTGACGTGTATACCTGCCCGACTCTTCAACGCTGCATCCACTTGTGATGTAGCATATAAGCACGGTTGGAAGGATCCTAGCGACTATCAGTCAACAAACCAGGCCGTACAGAATGACATCTCCCATCGACCTCACCACACTTTTCTCGCTCAACGGCAGCGTCGCTCTCATCACGGGCGCCGGTTCGGGCATCGGCTCGTACATCGCTCACACGTTCGTCCTCGCGGGAGCGGAACGCGTATACATCACCGGACGCCGACTCGAAGCGTTGAAGAAGACGGCAGCGTTCAATGCGGCCATCGTACCCATCCAAGGAGACATCTCGAGTAAAGCAGGTTGTGCCGCGATCGTCAAGGCCTTCGAAGAAGCCGAGAAAGCGCGCGGCGTTACCGGTGCTCCGAAGCTGGACATCCTCGTCAACAACGCTGGTATCCTCACCAAGGATGGCAACTGGGATAAGGACGGCGCGAGCGTCGAGACCATTAGCCAGGCCTTGCTTCAGGCGGACGACAAAGACTGGGATCAGGGCTTTGCTATCAACACTTCTTCCATCCAGGTAAGCTACGCCCGTCTTGTGGTGTAAGACTTGTTCTTGACCTGACCTTTCCTTGATCGGTAGTGGATGTCCGCCATTTTCCTCCCTCACCTTGAGCGCGCGGCAGCGAACGGAGGCAAGGCGCAGGGCCGAGGCAACATCATCAACAACACATCCGTATCGGCGCTCTACATCTCGCGTGACGCGCAGGGCCATATCTACTCCGCAACCAAGGTGGCGGCCGAGTCCATCTCGGCAAACCTAGCGAGCAAATTCACCAAGCTCGGTGTCCGCGTCAACTCGATCGCCGTGGCCAATATTCCCAGCGAGATCAACGATATGAACAACCCGAACAGCTTTATCGCGAAACTGAAGGACATCTCGCCCATCGGGCGCGTCGGCAATGAGGAAGATATGGCGGGTGCCGTACTCTACCTTGCCAGTCGCGCAGGGAGCTTCGTGTCTGGCGCTATGCTCAAAGTTTGTGGCATCATCCTCACATTCGACCTTTCGCTCATTGACATATGCCCAGATCGATGGAGGTATTCTCATCGGTGCCTAAAGAGCGCACGAGACGGAGGATGATGTCACCGTCGCAAGCATGATGTAGCAAATATGGCATTATATGAATGTATACAATTCCGTTCAACCGCCTACTCGTACAGGGTACACGTTCCGCGACAAGGGTATTCGTTGGCTGGAAGACTAAGCGTTTACTTGTTCAGCTCGGCCTGGCGGGCACGCAGCTCATCGCGAGACTGTACACACCATTAGCATGAAGTAGCTTCAGTCAAGCAGTGGGACTCCGAGTCCGAACTGCCGATTGCGGGGACTTACGGCGGGCTGCTCCATGTTGTTCGTGATGTGCGAGGGAGGTTGGTAGGGGCCACGCGCGTGGAATGCGCCGGCAGGTTCATGCTGCGAGTTAAGGCCGCCACCAAGCTGATCGCGCTGGAGATCGGCGGGATCGTTCGTCTTCTGCGATGATCGTGAGCATGAAGGCGGTCGAGAGATAAGTATAACTGATCAAACGTACGGCTGGGTGCGGCTGGATGGAGAATTGCTGCTCGTCTTCGTTGCTCTTGTTGCCGCCAACCTTGGACTTGAGGGTGTTGAAGATGTTGGACATGGCGAGAGTGGTAATTCAAGTAGTAAAAGAGGTTTGAAGGTTAGATTGGTGGAAGTAGGCGAGTGTGAGAGATTGTCTCATCGACGATTTGGTTCTTATACACGTTTGGCTCTGACGTATCCTCGAATCCATGGAGCGCACAGCGGAGCCAGACACGCCCAGCTGAGCAAGCTGCTTGCGCGCACAGCTGCAGAGGAAGGTCCGAGGGTTGCGCCAAGGAACGCGCGCTGGTCAACGCGTGACGTCATGGCTGCAGGTGACCGTGTCGCTTCGGCTATTGCCGTACGCCGCGTCGCGTCCCTCGAGTGCAACGACCCCAGCCAGACCTTAGCTCATTTCCGTCAGGGTATATATAAGTTCAGAACCGTAACTCTTCACATTTGTGCTACTTACCGTGTCGCCTCAGGCTTGTGCTTGTCTCGTGCGTTGCCAGGCCTACGACTGCGGGCTTACCGAGCGCAGTTTCGTGTACAGAACCTGCGGTACGAGACTGCGGGTACACACAGGACAGGATCATGACTCGGACTGCGACGGTCAATACCGCTGAATGTACAGGAATATCGCATTCGGGAGGCACTCGACGCTGATGTCGAAGGGACGATTCAGACGCGACTCGCTTCAGACCGTCACCGCCGCTCACTACCGTCGGCATACGAAATCACAAAGACTGGTTTCCATGCGCCGTGATGTTGCTCGTCTGATACGGATTGGGACCCTACGCCGACGGTGAACGACGTTCTTGTTCCCAATGCGGTCTCTTGTTGTACCATTTCCGGTTCTTATTGTTCGCCACCGATCTAAAGACCTCCGCGTTCCGCCACCGCCACCTAGCAACACATCACCCTGACCATCATCATATCCATTCATACTCGCTGCTGCTACTATACTTTCACTTCTCATGTCCTCGGGAGAAGCTTGCGATTTTGCCTCGCGGAGGCCTCACCCGCGCACCTACGCGTCTTTCTTGCCATGGTGCGCGCAGTGGTCCACACACGTACCGCGGCTCGACCTTGTCAAGCCAAAGTATGAGTGGTCTATCGGACGCGGGCCTCATAACGACTTCATGCTGCAGCCTAGGCAAATCAGTGCGTCGTATTTCGAACGACTTTGTGATACGGAATGCTGATTGCTAGCTCACAGGTTGGAACCACTGTGTTCTTGTCTGGGATCGTGAGGACGGGGAAGAATCGCACATTCGGCTATTCGACCTGGGTTCTGCGAATGGAACATGGGTGCGCCATAACCATAGGACCCTATTGGCCTGTACGCTAAACCTCCTGACTAGATCAACAACACACGTGTAAAGCCGGGAACAGGAGCCGAGGACGGTCGACTGCTCAAGAATGGCGACACTGTGGCGTTCGGCATCACCAGGACCAGCTCCAACGAGCTCATGAACGATGCGACATTCGAGTACGAGGACGGACAAGACCTACGCTACACCTTCTATCAGTTCACCGAAAATGGCCCGCCGGAGATGACCAAGAATGAGGAGGACATTCGCAATACGCTGGACATGTTGGATCGTGAACATCTGAACATCAATGTTCAAAGACGTATACTGTGCGTATCATCGCTCTGGAGACCCCACGACGCCATATTCACGAACAGCGCGCAGGAACTCCTACTTGAACCCCGAGCCAGAACCTGAGCGCCCGCTCTTCGGTGGCGCGGTGAAAGCTGCGGTCAAGGCTGAGCCCCTCAGTGTCAAGCTCGAGCCGCTAGATGGTTCAATTCCTGCGACACCACGACTTTTCGCTCCGGGTCACCCAATCAAGGATGAGCCTACCGAACAGCGGCCAAGTACCATAACCGAGGAGGAGAGGGGATGGATCAAGGTCGCACTGGACCATGCGGACGCGACCGAAGCGGAGCTCGTCCAATTGAGAGACGAACTGTGCGTTATCGTCTAAACATTAACGACAATATCCATGCTCATATATTGCTTGCAGTAACAAAGAAGCCGGTGACTTCCTCGAGCCTGTCCGATACGATCCGTTCGAGGGTCTCGAATGGATAACGGACAAGAACGTTAACCCTGACAAGACCGAGGACGAAGAGATCCACGCCGCACTCGCGACAGCCGTGTACGATATTCCTCCTGCACTCCCTGACGGCGCTACCAGTACCACCGACATTGCAAGTGAAGGTCATGACCCTCATGGCGCAGACTGGAACGATCCTCAAATCGTTTGGGTTGGCGACCTGCACCTCGACCGCTCGAAGCCATTGCGCATACCACTAGCATGGATCTACTGGTCCAACGCGCACCATCTGCCGGTGTATGCTCATCCGAACTTCAAGCTCATCAAGGAAAGCCTACATGCCCCAACCGCGCGACCTCATGCGCGGCTAGCCAAACTATTCAGCGACGCCAGTGCCGCTACGGCTCAACGCGATCTGGCCGCAGCAGAAGCTGAGGCCGCTGCTGAGGCCGGGGCGGAAGATGAAGGCCGGGGCACGCCAGTAGAAGATGATGGGGCCAGCGACAGGGCGTCTCCAGACGCTGAGAACCTTGGCGAGGGCGGTACAGAAGCACCGGAGCCGGCGACTGTCGGCGAAGTACACGACTGATGCTGTGCTTCGTATTGAGATTGTTCACTCTTGTAATCGTGTATATTCATGTGTTTCGATATCAATAGGATAGGATGAGCGATAGCCCATGTTCGCGAATTTCAAGTACGATTGAGAAAGAGTAGATATTTCTTGGTTCATTCCATGACATGCTAGCACAACGTACACATCTCCACGTAGACATCGTCCAGAATCAACATATGAAACGTACACCCGCGGACAAACCAGAAGTTTACTTGGAGAGCATCATCTGGAAACGATGTAAGCGAGATTCGGTATAGTCGGAGGGTCTCAGCATACCTTGACGAACTCCTCATAGTTGATCTGGCCATCACCGTCGACATCAGCCTCGCGGATCATCTCGTCGACCTCCGTGTCGGACAGCTTCTCACCTGTAAATAACTAAGTATGTGATCAACTCCAAGAGAAGCAAATGACATACCGAGGTTCGTCATGACATGACGGAGCTCAGCAGCAGAGATGTAGCCGTTGCCGTCCTTGTCGAAGACCTTGAAGGCCTCCTTGATCTCCTCTTCGCTGTCCGTGTCGCGCATCTTGCGTGCCATCATCGTCAAGAACTCGGGGAAGTCGATCGTGCCGTTGCCGTCAGCGTCGACCTCGTTGATCATGTCCTGCAACTCAGCCTCGGTCGGGTTCTGGCCGAGCGAGCGCATGACGGTGCCGAGCTCCTTGGTGGTGATGGTGCCATCGCCGTCTGTAGGCGCGCGCAGATAAGGTGGACAAACCGCGTGATGTTCCAAGGATGGTTGTAGGCGCGCAGGGAACGGGGTTCAGGAAGATGTGGCGAGATCGGACGATGAAACAAGCTCCTAGTCAGCTCTACTCCAATAAATATCGAGCAAGAGGACGTACCCTTGTCGAACAGGGAGAACGCCTCCTTAAACTCTACGATCGCGTCTGGTAAGCAACCGCAGCAGCTAGCACCAACGCAGGAAACCCACCAGAGATTTGCTCTATAGACGAGGACAAACAGTCGCTATTAGTATCCCAAGTGTATAATTCAGCGCTTGTAGGAAAAGCGCACCCTCAGACTAGAGAGTGGCGAATTACAATGAGCATGGGCAAAGGGCAGATGCTAGTGGAGAATGACGCACCAGTTGGTCGGCCATTGTTCAGATGGGAGGGTAAGAAGATCTAAATATCCAGTGAGCTGGAAGACAGTATGAAGAGTACGATGCACAGCTTACTGGTGGGTGAAGTGGTGGAGGGGGCAGACGATGGAGGGGAGAGCTAAAGAGCAGATGGGGCGAGGGTCGCCAACAACTTTGATCTCGGCGAACGCCGCGCTAAGTTGAGCGAGGCGCACAGGAACGGCCTTCGCTCCGTACAGCCATCTCCTCCCAGTGCCGGTCTGTGCACGCTTATACCTTCTTGTTATCATTTCTGCGAAGGTGTACTCCGCCGTCTCAGAGGCATAGTCGCAAGAATTTCAGTCGCTCCTCCCATTGCGCCGTGATTTGAGGGCCACCGGCGAAAGATAGAGGCTTTGTCCCGATCAGATCTACGGCTGTTGTGATCGCAATGGAAGCGCTCGCCTCCCATATCGTCACCACGTACGCTCTCGAATACCGAGATGCGCCCGAGGCAGCGTGCCAGCGTTTCCGCAGCCTCTGGGAGGCACAGAAAGGCTCTCCTGTGCATGAGAATAGCGACCTGTGCACTAGGATCAGCTCACTGGCAACGTCTTTCCGCGACGCATCTGGGTACATCAACCAAGGAGGGAAGCTACCGGACGTCTTCCCCAAGCCTGAAGGCAATCTCTGGAAAGCATGCATCGCGGCCGAGCTACCGGTTGTCCTTCTGGACATGATACAAGACAAGCACTTTGAGAAGCAACCATACGTTCGTCTTCAAGCTTGACCGTGCTATTCTAATCCGACATTTACCGCCGCACAGATATTTGTCGAAGCCGTTCTCATCCTGAACGCTGGTATCGCGATGCTTTGGGTATCGCATGCTCATCCCCGTGCGCTTCAAGTAACCAGTGAAAAGTGGCCCGAGCTATCCCCAACTCTAGCCAAGCGGTACTTTGCGGGACTATGTCCAACTTGGAATAAGTTATGGAGTATGCGCGATGACCTACTATCCCCCGCGAATACCTTGCATCCTGGAAGGACGGCAGTCCTCACCGTGTTTGCACACTCTACCGTGGTTCTCCACACGCATCTATACATGTCAGTGTCCATCGCGCGTGCCTCACACCGTGTCATAACTGAGTGATGGTCAATAGCGAATACCGAGACGGCTTGACGAAGATCAAGAGTGTCGTCGGCATAGCGCTTGCGGCATGGACTCACGCTGCCACGTCTCTAGAGCCATACAAGCAGCTTTACAGCGGTCAACAATGCTTCCCCTTCCAAGTCGTCCATCTCTTCAGAGACTCCGTGTTGATGCTCGCTGCTACCGGAGTCTCCGGCGATCGCATCGACAGCATCTGGCGCAACACTATCGACAGTGCTGTCGAGGCTGTTGGTCCGTCGAAGCTCATGGGAGCGATCCGTACTGCGCTCTCATCCTGGCCCGTCATGATCAACACAAACTTGAGCAGTTGTCTGGAAGCACTGCAGAACATGGTCGTCTTCTACGGAGACACCGATGGAGATAATCCAGCCGACCTCGCGTTGCCTTCTCGCAAAGCATACTGGGCAACACCTATGCTCGAAGCTATTGCAACAGCATTGGAGAGGCAGACTGGCGTCAACGACAACACGGCGGAGCCTCCAGATCTCAGCCCGAAAGCAAACGCGAACTTGTGCGCAGCGAGTTGTTTCCTACTCCAGTATGTTGTGTAACGGTTTTTCACACGCGGATGGCTGACGCCATTATCATCAGGTTTAGCAGGCAAGGATTAAGCCTGCGCGACGGGGATCCGCCGGTCATCGATGGCCAAAGCGCGTACAGGATCCTCTCGCAGTGTCTGCTCATTCTCAGCGGGATTCCAGATGCGAAGAGCCCCGCCGATCGTGCGTCTCTATCACTGTCGTACCGTCAATGCCGCACTCACATCTCTCATATAGCTCATATAGCGCAGATAGTTACGGCGGCGATCAAGCAGTTCAACGTGACGTGCGAAAACTGGGCAGATCTGGCTGACGCCTTCATGCCGACTCCAGCACAGGCCATAGCTCTGCGCCATGTTCTGCATAGCTTGAAGCTCGCAGCGGGGAAGTCGTGGTACGACGATCTGCACGCGTTGCGCAGTCACCGCGACCGACTGAGTGGCATCGGCAACTACCAGCTTCTTGTCAAGTCGTGGTTGCGACTTGGGAAAGCGTTGGGCCTCAAGGAAACGGCTGAACGCGACCAGAGAGATGCACAGAATAAACATCTGTGCTCTTGGATGATGTGCCAGTACCATATTCAGCCGGCACCTCAATCCTTATCGGCATGCACGGGCTGCGGCGATGTGCGATATTGCTCGAAAGACTGCCAAAAACGGTAGGATGTTTACTTACTGGGATGTATACAACACCTCTGACAGTCTACCCAGGGACTGGAAGCAAGGTGGTCATCGCACAGCTTGTAGAAGGCTCCATGCATGAACCACCCTCTCTTCAGCGCCAGTCACCTTCAAGCGCCATCAATCGCCGTCACATGTGTTCATACCAACGCATCGGAGGAGTGAGTCTATGTTTATCTCATGAGTCGTAGAGGAGTACAAGTAGCGTGATCATTGGAGTCGTGAACGTAAAGCGTACTAAGCCGTTAATGATGTACAATAAACCCAGAAAATACATGTAATAAACCCAATCTAATCCAATGCGCCATTGCCATTACAGTAGTCGACATTCCCTTTTGCGGGATTGCCAGCCCACTGAGAGAGTTCAGTCAGTACGAGCATCGTCACCGCAGCATTAGAACCACGTACGAAGGGGAAGGGCCGCTCGGTGCCTGCTGCACCAAAGACGGCGAAGGAGAGTAGGAAGATCATGACTGTAAAATGGGCTTGTCAGCGCTTGCCAGATAGTCAGGTCGATGAGGCTTACCCTGTGCACCACCATCCAGCGCACCGCCAAGGATGTAGTTGTACTTTCTGAAGGACAGCGGATGTCTGGTCCTCCAGTAAACCTGCGTCACGATGCCGGCGATGGTGATGGACGTATAGATGGACGTTACACCAGCGTACATGGTCGCGGAGTACTATGCAAAGATCAGACAAATGAGTCATACCCCGAATGAGTCGCAACATACACTCCAGATGAGAGGCAGGATCACGTCGTTGATGTGGACGGGACCGATGTGCAGGTTAGGCCAGCGCCAGGCAACAGCGCGCTGAATGATCGTAGGCACCATGCCTATGAAGAGACCCATGGGGATGATGAAGTACGGGCCCGACGGTGTGTAGAGGTACTTGGCGAGCGCCCATGTTACAGCGTTGGTGTTAAGCGACTGAACGGTTTGACCAGACCAGATATTGGTGCCGGCCGAACTCAAGAGGACCTCGCGCTGGGCGGTTACAACAGACACCATGACCACGTAGTTGATGATCATGCCTGAAGAATCGTTAGTGAGCGTTACACCGACGGGAAGATGGTACATACCGATAACAGTTCCCCACATCTGAATCAAGAACCTAGATGGTCGTGAGAAAAATACAACCGACAAAGCAAGAGGCGCAGGCGTACATAGAGCGCGGAGGGATCTTCAGGTACTGTGCGATCTTGAGGTCCTCAGCCATACCGATGGCCGTAGAAATGACATCGTGACTCCACATCGAGAACTGTAAGACGGGTCAGATACAGTGCAGGTGAGGAGAGGTGTTGAGCGAGCGTACGTAGAGGTTCGCAACGGGCTTGCCGGGGTTGATCGCACCAGCAACCATCTTGGAGATCTGGTTGGTCGAGACTGCCGAACCCATGAGGCCGTAGAGCATGGCACTGAACGGCGTGATGAACATCCCGAGCAGTAGCGCAACAACGAAACTCCAGACGGGGAGCGTGGTCTCGCCCTTCGCGCACGCGATAACACCGGCAAGGAAGCCGAGGAGGAGTAGGATCAGGTACCACCACTGTGGTGCCTCCTTGTACTTGAGCATTGCCTGGTAGTGTGGGTCCTCGAAGCTCTTATTGCGCCAGTTTGCGTACGAGTCGCGAACGAATGGTCCCCAGAAGCAGAGGCAATGTGCGAAGAGTCCGCCGATTGCCAGGTTCATGCAGAGGTTGTACCAGGCATTCGAGCCCGTCATGCTAGGAAGACCGATTTCTTCGAGCGCAGTGACGTTCAAAGAGACACCAGAGCCCGTAAAGACGGCAGACTGCTTGTACCTCGTCCCGTTCGGGAAGAAGAGTGAGGTTGAGATCATAGGCAACGACTTGGCCTGCACGAAAGTCAGTTGAAGCGACCCGAGACATGCAGGTCGAAGCACGTACGTCCCAGGTGTTAGAGTAGAAGATAGCAGAGATGGCGATGTAACTGATCAAGTATCCCACCCAGCGGTTGGCTTGTTGCGTCAGAGGCAGACTCATGTACTTTGCACCGATGTACTGAGAGAGTCGTCAGACGATGAAGACAGTGCACGAGAGCACACCTACCTGCCAGTCGAAGGAGAGGTTCAGAATACCGAGGCCCTCGTTACCCTCTGCTCCGCCGAACAAGTTGGTGATGACATCGAGAGCTCCGGGATTGGCTTTCTGCGAGGCGAGGCAGATAATGCTAAAACCGTTGAGGAGTGGGAAGATGTACGCCGGGATGATCTCGTAGCAAAACTGTAGCGATATCAGTATGTTGCAAAGAGCTTACAAGTGCGTGCTCTTACCATGAGCCCAAACGCAATCCAGAAGAACTAGAGCGGACGCCCGGTCAGCATCTGTAGCGTGATTGCAAGCGAAGCACACACCTTGATCCGCTTCGAGTTGTTGACCGCTCCATGATGCAGAGTCTGGTAGACGGCGACTGTCGGCAGATTCTGCCAGAACACCATCTCGCCAGGGTAGATGATGAGCGGCCGCAACAAGCCGATAATACCGTAGCCGAAGACAGATGTGGAGAAAGTAGCAAGGACGGCGGTCGTTGCCTTGACGTTGGTGTCGTAGTAGAGCCGTTGGACTGCGAAATTGAGTACAGCTAGCGTTCCGTGGCATGAGTAGTGCTATCGTTATCAGCATCGGAACAACGCACCAGTCGATCCCCAAGCGGCCGTGCTGGCCATCACCGTCGCGCTGACATGCTGGAACGAGGATCAGAACTCGTGGACACGATAACGCCAGGCGCGCTCAGCGGTCGCCGAGCATTACACCGATACCGCTCCGCGTATCCATGGCTGCCCTGGCGCAAAGAAGATAGCGCTCACCTCCTTGATACCAAAGGGACCGGGGTTCAAAAAGTGAAGATAAGGCCCGTAGCGCTCGAAACGCGTGCCCTCCACCCATGAGCGCGTCGGAAGGAATCTTGCCCAAGCCCGTCCCAACGTGTAAACGACCAGTAAGGCGAAGACACCCGAGATGTTCGTTTCTACGGGTTTGAACGTGTATAGCTACGCATCTGAATCAGCTACCGGTCTCGACAAGAGCTATCGTGGTACGCACCTGGTTCAGAGTGGCAGTGAGGGCAGACATGAGTGTGCCGAGGACAAGGGAACGGAAGGTGATAGCCGCGTCGCCGTCGTCGCGCAAGTCCACGACGTACTTCGAGACGTCCTTGCCATCGACGATGACAGGCTCTTTGCCGAGCGCAATCGAGACATCGTCCTTGCTTGCCTCTGGGTCCAAGTCGAGCTTCTCCTTCTCAATCCCGGGCGAATACGGCGGGAGGTCCTTCTCCTTGAGCTCAGGTAACGTCGCTGCCAAATCGTCCGAGGCCATGACGAAGTCGGTTGTCGAAGACGAGCTAAAGAGAGCGAGCCAGTCTTCCTATCATCGCGCCTGCATGCTCTTATACGAAGTCAGAGAAGTGATGCTGCCATTGCACAATGCTCTTGCGCTATCAGCTCGTACCAGGGGCCGATCGCCAAGAGGATATGCACGCCGACTCTGGCATCCGAGCGAGAAGTCTGCGATGCTCGGGAGTCCCGATCTAGCCGCAGCGGAAGGACTGGCGGTTATAGGTTAAGCATCTCTACTTCCGTCTGTCATGCCCGTTTGCGGTCAAAAAATCGGTCGTTCAAATAAGTGAAGGCCATCACTCACGATGTCCTTGGCGGGCCTTCAGGTAAGCAGTACATGGGGAGGGCATTGACCTCGTAAGTATTGGCCAGAACATGCTTGTCAGTGTAAGGTACAACGTGCCTGTCGGTGCGTCTTGAGTCGGCCGAGTACCGGCAGGAACAGGCGCATCACGGCGCTCTCAATCCCGGAATGGGAAGGCGCCATTTCAAGGGCAGATTCGTCAGAAGCCTGCCTTCCGCAGCACGTAACTTCTTTGGGACGTTCCTGTATATCGTTGAGGCTAGAGCGCGTGAGCGTCGGGACTGGCAGCGAACCGGCCGGTCAGCCCGCTGGCCGCGAGTCACATTTCCCGAGGATGAGTGTCGAGCACGGGACGTGGTTGAACCGGGTGAGCATAGAGATATATTGAATCTGGTTACGTCGCTACAAACTGACAGTTCTGACAGGTATTAAGTAGAATCACTAGAGAACTGATGAGACGCCATGAACAACGTCCAGGACCTTGAAAGCACGCACCCTCCCCCGGTCTACGAATCGCCAACCGCACTATTGATCCTTGACCTCCTGATCTTACTGCCCGACGAGGTCGCCTGAGGTCGAAGAGCGTGGCATATGCCATAGATATCACGCCACCACTGGCTACACCAACTGGTGGTAGTTCGACGATGTCGATCAGTCGCTCGAACAAACCCGCTGGCAACCCGCCGCTGTCGGTTCCGACGTGTCAGCGCGTCGCGTCACGACAGTGACCGCTCGTGTAACATCGATGATCGCGCGCGTCGCGCAAGCTGTGGTCGATCTCAGCTGGTGAAGAAATTTTTTGTCACAAAGAGGTCGTTTATAGAGCCCTTGCGAAGCCACGGGCCCAAGAGTGAGTTGCAAGGTAATGATGGTGGCACGAAGAGCATCACGCATTTGCTGAGTGCGTTCGCTACTGGCTTGTCGCCGGCAATCACCGACAGCGACCGCCCGCTTGGCGCCGTTCATCTCCGGTCCACCATCACCTTACTCTCCTCTCTCAGATGCCGGCTTACAGCTGCTTGCAAAACGATAGGCCACCTAGGGGTCCTACACATAGAGAGCCGGGCGCCACTTCGCGTCGTCCGCTCAC